GCTACCCTATCCCCTCCTCCTCCTCCTCCTCCTCCTCCTCCTCCTCCTCCTCCTCCTCCTCTCCAATGTGCAGTCATTTGCCCCGTCTGCTCCTCCTTTACCACCCCCGCATCCTCCTCCTCCTCCTCCTCCTCCTCCTCCTCCTCTACCTTTCTTTGCGCTGCCCTCATGCCTGTTGGCTGTTTGACTGGATCTCAGAGTTGTCGGGGAGCACTGGTAGCGACGTCCACGTCCTTCGCAAGCACATGCAGAAGGACGAGAAGCATTTGCTGGCTCAACAGAAGAGGGACAGGCAAGAAGCTCAGCGGAAGCAAGGATCAAAGGAGGAGAATGAGAGGGAGATGCGGCGGGAGGAGCAGAACAAGAAGCTGTCTAAGAAAGAGCAGCGCCATTTGCGCCGGCAACAAGCCTCTGCATGATCTTGAAGACAGTGTCGACGTCCATGTTCTCAACGTCAGGAAAGTTTCTGAAAGAGGCGATCAGCGATGAACAACGAAAAGAGGGAGGAAGAAGGGTTTTGCCGGACTACTTGGTAAGAAGGGGGAAGGAGACATGGAGGAAATACGGAAGAGGAGGAGGAAGGGAAGGAGGAGGAAAACCTCATGAACTCCTCGTCAGACGACTCTTCTTCTGCATGGCTAGATCAGAACTGTCCTCTAGTTCAAATACATCTCACCGCTTTCAAGTCGAGTGACCTCCTGCTCCTCCTTCTCTCCTTCAGCGCCTTCCTTTCTCGTCTCCCGATTTCTCTTCACCCTTCGCGTCTCTCCTCGCTCCTTCCGTCCAAGTTGTTTACAGATCTCTTCCATCTCTGATATTCACATCATGCACCTCGCACTTCCATCTCCACCCGCTTCCCTTTCATCCCTCCCTCCCTCCTTCCCTTCCCCTCCCCCTCCCCCCCCACTTTCACCGTTGAGAATGTCTTCTTCAGTCTTGGGCTTAGCCCGCATGGAGTAGCCTGAGGCTCGCATGTGCTTCTTTCCGTGGATGTGTTGCTTCCACGCCAGGCTGTTGGTCACAGACACGTCGCAGACAGGGCAGTGCCATGGCGTCTTCTTCTTTGTCTCGATATCAAGCCCAAACATCCCGCTCTCCTCCCCCTGCCCTTCCTCCATCTCGCTCGAGTCATAGATGCCTTCTCGCCGGCGCTCTTCTCCTCCTAGGGGCAACATGCGATGTGCCTACAAGGGTTTTTCGTGAGCAAGCGAGAGGAGGGGGGAAGAGGGGGGAGAGGGGAAGGAGGAGAGGAGAGGGGAAGGAGGAGAGGAGAGGGGAAGGAGGAGAGGAGAGGGGAAGGAGGAGAGGAGGGGGCGAGAGGGGGGAAGCATAAGTTGAGGAGTCATCACTTCAGTGTAGTTGAGCCATTTCCTTGTTGGGGCGAAGGGGTCCAGCGGGTCCACACGCTCCTTGTTCCTTCTCTCCCACTCTCTCTCCGCCCTTATCCGCTTCTCGTGCCTCGGATCAGCCAGCCCTGTCGACAGCAGCACGTTGGGATCTGCGATGGTTCGCTGGATGCGGGTGATGGTCTACAAGCACAGGATGGGGGTCAGGATGATCCGAGCTGCGCAAGCCAAGGACCTTGCTCTGCTTGTCGAAGTCTTTCTCGGAGGCGAGTTCTTGTTGGTTCTTAATCAACGTCTCCATCAAGTGCTTCCTCGCCTGCCGCTTCTTCCTTCCTAGGTTGTCTTTCCCTCGCTTCTTATCCCTCGTGCTGTTTGTCACCGTCTCATTCAAAAAGCTCACAAGCTTGTCCATCTTCTCCAAGAATCGCAGTGTCCGAGTCCTCCGCTCTTGCTCCGCATGCTTCAGGTTGAGCTGCTGGACGTGTGGGTCCCACGTCCTCTGAGCAACTCTGAGCCCGCTCCTCGTCATGTTTGCCGCAGTCCCTCCCGTAAACATCCTTGATGTGTTGAGCTCCTTCCGCCAGTCCACAAACCCACCGAGGCTAGAGGCTCCTCCTCTAAGAGAGGATCGACCGAGGCTAGAGGCTCCTCCTGTAAGAGAGGATCGAAGAGCAATTTCCTCATGACACTGGCAGGAGCAGCGAGGCAGCAGAGCTGCGCTTCCTCTCTCCTTGTCCCGCATGCCTTCAAGCAGAGCTGCGCTTCCTCTCTCCTTGTCCCGCATGCCTTCAACCTTCACCGCTAGCAGCAGCATCATTCCCGCTAGTTCTCCCCCTCGCATCCTCTTACCCGACCTTCATCATGCCAGCGGCCATTGCGGTCGCATCCTACCCGGGCCCGGGCCCGGAAGCCGGCCCGGCCGAGGTCAGTGACTGACTTCTTGGTTATAAAATCAGTCAACCTTGACCAATGTCATCAAAACTTCATCCGAGTCAGTTTTTGTGACCTCAGCCAGTCACTGGTACCCTACCCCTGCAATAGCCATGAGTCAAAGGAAATTAAAGGGGTGGTATGAATGTTTGACGAGCCTCCGAGTTGTCATCGAGTCAAACTTTAGCCTAGTAGTGTGGGGGGTTGTATGGTAGGGGTACTATTTGTGCTAAGAGATGGGGGTACATGAGGTACCAATCTCCATTCGGGCGGGGGTCATCGCTATTTAGACACGTTGGAATTGGATCATTGTGTATCTTAATTTGATCAAATTACACAAGAAAAGGCTGGTAGTCCCCCAGTTCAACCAATTAGATGACGAAGTCTAAACCAAATCGAGCGTAACTTGATTCCTCCAAGTTGTTTCAAGCCCTGTATGGCAATGGGTATCGCATGCGCGTGCGCAGAGATGGTGAGGGGGGGATGAACTGATAATTGATCCTCTTGGTCTGCATCTCAACTCCTCAACACTGCTGCCTCTCTGCCTGCCTACAGGACTTCCATACCAGGTGCGTGTAAGCTTTCCCTCCGAGTTCTTTTGGAAAACATCCTTGCCATACATCCTGATCATGCTTTCCCTCCCTTAGATTATCTCTTTCTCGCCTCTGCCAATGAGTTCATTTGTAAAGTAATCAAGCTGTACCGTCAAAGTAAGACGTCTCCAAGAAATCTGAAGCAGGAACCCTGTGCTCTCTCTTTCATATCAGGTTGGACATTCTGAATCGTACGTTCCTCCTCGAATCCAAGCGAATACCTGCATCGATGGCGATAGGACTTAACATGGCCTGTCTCAACAAGCTCACTTGCTTCTGCGTGCTCGCTGTCACGGTCTTCGAGATCGTCTCCAACCTGGTCTCCTCGGACCAGTCCTTCTCCGACCTCCTCGTCACGAGGATGCTCAGCGAGTACGAGCAGAAGCTCAAGGGCGCCCCACGGTGCAACTCGACCCGCGAGTACGCTGTCTTCACCATCATATCCAGCACAGACCCGGACTACCCGAGAGGAGCGACCACGCTGAGGAAGAGCATCACCTTGTTCGGGAAGCTTGACAGCTGCCGCGTCGAGACCATCTCGCTGGTGATCGACGAGGTAGCGAGAGAGCCCTCGTTCCAGGCAGACCTGCAGAGGATGAAGGAGGTGGGATGGAAGCTCGTGCTGGTACCCGAGATCAAGATGCCGGAGAGCATGATAGCCAAGGTCGACTCTCCTCGCTTCATCCCTCTCTTCACGAAGCTGCACGTGTTCAACGCGACGCAGTACAAGGCGGTGTTGTTCCTGGACTCAGACATGTCGGTGCTGGGAGACATGATGCCGCTCTTTGACCGCTATGTACCCGAGCTCAAGGCCAGGAAGCTCAACCTGGGGTGGGTGCATGACCAGCCCTACAGCGTGTTCAAAGGATCGTCGGCGAACGCGGGGATGATGCTGGTGATTCCGGACAGGCGGCTGTTTGTCGACCTCATCGCAAGCATCACCACGCTGGAGTTTGATGCCAAGATGTCGGAGCAAGGCTTCCTGAACAAGTACTTCGAGCACAGATCGATGCTCCTGCCGGACGTGTACAACTACAACGCGGTCGTGGCTCTTAGGAATCAGAGCTTGTGGGATGCGACCGAGCTTGGCTCCATCGTGATCTTCCATCACACGATCGCGAAGCCTTTCTACAGCATCATCGGGGCAGACCTGGCGTGCCTGGTCAACAACCACTACCACATCTGCAAGATCTGGAAGAAGATCGACAAGCTCAACCTAACGGTGTCTCCTCCAGAATGACAGTCAGACTATTCTGCGAAGCTTGAGTGTTCCGCTCAGAGATTTTGTTGTACAACCTGCTTGTTAACCAGGCATGACAGTGCTGATCATTTTTCATGGAAACTTCCGAATTCAAAATATTTAACATGACCTTTTGGATTATTTCAAACAGTGTGATTTTGTTTTACCGGTTCGCGACTTCTATACAACTAAGAATGGATGTCTCTTCCTTCAAGTTGAACAGTCTTTGTTGTCACAAGTTGATAGCTCAATAGCTGACGCTGCTCGTGCCATATCATGGCATAGTATTCAATGTGATTGGGTTGCAACCTGGCGTCGGGCCCCGGTCAACTTACTGAGTCAGTGAGTGCATGCGGCTTGCGGCCGCAGTAAGCCGTCGGTCCCGTCATGCGGAGGCTGCAGACTGAGACAGTCACACGCACTCAGACTCAGTGACTCACCGTCACCGTAGCACCGTAGCACCGGCAGATGGCCTGGCGGCGGCCTGCCCGGTGCTTGCCAGGCTACGAGGCCCTGAGGTGGGCCGACCGTATCGGACAGTGAGTCCGCAGGCCTCCTCGGCGACACTCCTGATTGTCCTCGTACTGATTTTTAACTTAACTTTGCCAAAAGTTGAGCAATGGCGCGGTGATAGCCTGAGCCGGCCTCTGCGGCCGGGCGGCCCCGGGCCCGGCCGCCCAGCCGGGCCCCGGCGGGGGCCCGAGCCGCCGCTACCGGCAGTATCCGCGAACGGTCATATGGACGCCGCGACGGCCGCCGCTGAGTCCCCGTGCGCGGCCCGGCCGGCAGCCCGCTCAGTGCCACTCGGACAGCCGGCAGTGCCGCCGCCGCGCACTCCGACGGCGGCACGGTAGCCCAGGCTGCCATGGCACCGCCCTCCCACCCCGGCCCCTGGCATGCCACCGATGACCGCCGCCGGGTCGCCGGTCAGTCATCGGTCATCGTGCTCACCGTCAGCTCAGTCGCCTCCATTGTCGGGAGCAGAGGCTTCGCTTCCTCTGTTTCCTCTGGCAACAAATGCAGTAAAAATCGAAAAGACGTCTTTTCGAGTAAAAAACATTGGTCATTTCCCGATTGCCACACCCTACCCCCAGTGAGATGCTGTCCCTCCTCGAAACCTGAGAACTAGTGCCCTCTAGTACCATCATTTTTCTATTGCATCACTAGTCTCACGGGGACATGGTACCTTACAAGGAACTAAGACTACCCCTAAGCAACTGACCACCCTGCGGACGTGCAATATAAAAGGTGGGGGGAAGCAAAGCCGCACAAACACCATGCTCGAAGCATCCAAGGTAAGGGAGGAGAAGGATACGCTGTGAGCAACATGAAACATGTAAGGGAGGAGAAGGATACGCTGTGAGCAACATGAAACATGTAAGGGAGGAGAAGGATACACTGTGAGCAACATGGTGAATCGATCCAAGTAAGACAGTGACTCCGAGCAATAGAGCTTTGTTGTCTGCTTGAGGTGTGGAATGAAACAAAACTGAGCAGACAAATATTGTGTACATGTACTAACTAAGAATCTACATAGATCATTCAAGCAACGATACTAGTTGCAATCGTCACAACAGGACTCTGTGACAAACCTCAAACTCCTCCAGGACCAAACAAGCCGACCCCTATCCCTGCACCTCACCCTGGTCCACATGGAGGCCCTCAGGGCCCTCATCCCGGCGGCCCCAACGGTACCCATCCCGGCGTACACTCCCATGCATCCGAGCTTGCATCTGCGCTGCAGCACGTTCTTGGCAAAGGCCCTCAGGGTCCAGGCTCAGGCTCAGGCTCAGGCTCAGGCTCAGGCTCAGGCTCAGGCCCTCACCCTGGCGGCCCCAACGGTACCCATCCCGGCGTACACTCCCATGCATCCGAGCTTGCATCTGCGCTGCAGCACGTTCTTGGCAAAGGCCCTCAGGGTCCAGGCTCAGGCTCAGGCTCAGGCCCTCACCCTGGCGGCCCCAACGGTACCCATCCCGGCGTACACTCCCTAGCATCCGAGCTTGCATCGGCGCTGCAGCACGTTCTTGGCAAAGGCCCTCAGGGTCCAGGCTCAGGCTCAGGCTCAGGCTCAGGCTCAGGCTCAGGCTCAGGCCCTCACCCCGGCGGCCCCAACGGTACCCATCCCGGCGTACACTCCCATGCATCCGAGCTTGCATCGGCGCTGCAGCACGTTCTTGGCAAAGGCCCTCAGGGTCCAGGCTCAGGCTCAGGCTCAGGCTCAGGCTCAGGCTCAGGCTCAGGCTCAGGCCCTCACCCTGGCGGCCCCAACGGTACCCATCCCGGCGTACACTCCCTAGCATCCGAGCTTGCATCTGCGCTGCAGCACGTTCTTGGCAAAGGCCCTCAGGGTCCAGGCTCAGGCTCAGGCTCAGGCTCAGGCTCAGGCTCAGGCTCAGGCCCTCACCCTGGCGGCCCCAACGGTACCCATCCCGGCGTACACTCCCTAGCATCCGAGCTTGCATCTGCGCTGCAGCACGTTCTTGGCAAAGGCCCTCAGGGTCCAGGCTCAGGCTCAGGCTCAGGCCCTCACCCTGGCGGCCCCAACGGTACCCATCCCGGCGTACACTCCCATGCATCCGAGCTTGCATCTGCGCTGCAGCACGTTCTTGGCAAAGGCCCTCAGGGTCCAGGCTCAGGCTCAGGCTCAGGCTCAGGCTCAGGCCCTCACCCTGGCGGCCCCAACGGTACCCATCCCGGCGTACACTCCCATGCATCCGAGCTTGCATCTGCGCTGCAGCACGTTCTTGGCAAAGGCCCTCAGGGTCCAGGCTCAGGCTCAGGCTCAGGCCCTCACCCTGGCGGCCCCAACGGATCCCATCCCGGCGTTCACTCATTTGTTCCTACCGAGGGATCATCGGCGTGGATTAGGGCTGATTCAGGCATTTATGCCAATGGGGAAGCACTTGAAGCTGGTGCGCAGGTTTGTCTTGCTGATTTCCATCGTTTCTGTGCATTCAGAGTCGCGGACATGGACGATGTGGAGGAGATCGTGACATGCATGGACGAGCACTCGGCTGAGCTTGTGCCTCCCTGCCTGGACCTGGTCGAGAGCATCGCCCACAGCCTCGTTGCCTTGCACTCTGCATGCGATCAAGACCTCAAAGTCAAGTGTCCAGCTGCCATCGGCGAATTTCGCAAGGCTCGTGACTGCATCCGCGTCAACCTGGCAGACTTGACCCACGAGTGTCTGTCAGAAGTCTCTTCCTTCATGCAGGAAGTCAAACAGCTCAGAGGATGGAAGACGGCTGGTTCCTCCTCTTCCTTTGGCGACATGTTTCCACATCAGCCTGCAAGGCTGAATCAGGATGAGAGCGAGACAAAGGGCTATGGAAGGTGAAGCTCCTGACATGTTGTGATGTTGAAACTTACTCCTGCACTAGCGGCTTTCAAGGTTCTCTTGCCTCCTTCTTGCTCGGGGGTTTATCGAGCATCATGGTGAGTTTGGAATGCAAGTACGTTCGCTCGCTCAAACTCCTTGCCAGGTGCTCGCTGCCTACATGTTTATCATCGACATCCTCAAGCGCAGGCACGAGCAATCTCTCGGGCTGCCGTCAGCATGGGATCACTCTCAGACCCCAGCAGCGTGCACCAAATACTAGCTGCAGACTTCCAGCTTCCCATCAACAGGGAACTTCAAAGGGGCGCACGTCCCCTGGTATCCTCGATCTACCCAACTCTCAGTTAGTCTACTTCATCTTTGAGTGTAATATACACCCCTCCACCTTGTTTGAGTGCAATGTACAAACCTCCACCTTGTTTGAGTGTAATGTACAAACCTCCACCTTGTTTGAGTGCAATATTCAAACCTCCACCTTGTTTGAGTGTAATGTACAAACCTCCACCTTGTTTGAGTGTAATATACAAACCTCCACCTTGTTTGAGTGTAATATTCAAACCTCCACCTTGTTTGAGTGTAATGTACAAACCTCCACCTTGTTTGAGTGTAATATACAAACCTCCACCTTGTTTGAGTGTAATGTACAAACCTCCATCTTGTTTGAGTGTAATGTACAAACCTCCATCTTGTTTGAGTGTAATGTACAAACCTCCACCTTGTTTGAGTGTAATGTACAAACCTCCATCTTGTTTGAGTGTAATATGCAAACCTCCATCTGTTTGAGTGTAATATACAAACCGCTCAGCTGGCGAGGTGGGATGATGACGAGCCATCTCAGGTCCTGCGCCGATCATTCCCGTTCTCAACTCGCTCGATCCTCCACCTCAGTTTGACATCAGTTGATCGATGGCCGCACCGAAATTGTTCAAAAACGAAGTACAAGTAGAGTACGTATCTGCCTTGGAACGAGCAGCAGGGTTGAAGTCAAGCTTGCCAAGTTGTACCCAGGTAGCTGTGGGAGACGTACAACAAGTAACGCCGAGTCAGCATGGCTAGGCTGAGGGCTGCTAAGGGTCAGCATGGCTAGCCTAGGTTTGCCTCAGTGAAGGTACGATGGTTTGATCTCTGAATAACTTGATGACATTCAACCGGGACATTCACTGTCCGATCAGTCGTCTGCTGAGAGTCCATCACTGTCAGTCGTCTGCTGAGAGTCCATCACTGTCAGTCGTCTGCTGAGAGTCCATCACTGTCAGTCGTCTGCTGAGTTTCCATCGCTGCTAGTGCGGCAATTGCGGCGGCATGACGGGGAGGCTCACGTAGCCTAGTACCGTCCCCGGAGTCGCATCTCTGCAGAACCCCCCTCTATCCCCCCTCCCCTCCTGCTCCCTAACACTTTCACAAGATACGTCCTCGGTGCTCTGGCGCTGCCATGCTCTGCGAGCTGTCATTCGAGCAGCTCTGCTTCTCGGACCTTAGGAGTGAGATCCCAGGCGATGAGGACGGAGACTGCTTTGGGCTCCATTCCGTTACCTCTCTAACGCCGGCAAGACATGGCAAGACATGCGCAGATCGGACAAAAGACTATGATCAGGAGATCCATGACGAGAAGCTGTCGCTGCCAGAGTACAAGACGAGGCAGCTGAGAGCTCTTGCACATTGCATCGAGCTGCTGAGCAATGCCAAGCGACCTGTCGTGCTTGCTGCAACGGGAGAGGAGCTCAAACTCTAGACCGCAGGAGATCATCTGAGTAAAGGCTGGCGCTGGGAACTGATTTGTACCTCTGATTCCCATGTGCAAGGTAGATCAGTCTGCAAAACAGTCAATAGACAGAACGAGACGAGGTATGTTGTTTGTGCACAAGAACTGTGAAGGTAGTTGAGTCAGTGATTACTCTATTGTCTTCGTATCTCTTCAAAAGAGATGATTTTGTCCATAAAGTTCATACTAGAATGGTATTTCATTCCAAATCGCAACGATTTCAACGCGTTCCTACTGTCCTTTCAATCTTCTCTTCTAGCCCTTCCGATTTCTAACCAGAAGGCAAGTGGCTTAGTGATTCAAGATTTGATACGGGGCCGTGTAGTCAACTCAACTCAGCGGGCGGATTCTCAATGTAGGTACTGCTATCAAGCTCCAAAAACATCAATGTGACAGGCTTGAGTGCTTGGCAGGTTTACGGGCCTCTTGTCTGTAGACTAGTAGCGTGTTGAGCAATTGACTTTCCGTGCTGTCTTACGCTACATGTGCTGAGACTATCGGATCGACGCCTTGCTTATCATCACGACACTTCCTATGCTGTCCAATAAGATCTTTACTTAATCTTGAGTAAAGACTGCAGGTACTCCGGTACCCTCTCTCTTTGCTGACCGGACCAGCAGTAGTAAACAAGTTTGCTTCTGAGCTTCCTACCGGCAGGGGTGGAGCTTTCTGCTGGTCAGACCAAGGGTGGGGGTAGGTCAATCTCAAAGTAGCTGCGAAAAGAAGTCCTTTCGGTCCAGAGAGGAGCGTAAGTTGCCTCTATTGCTGAGCCTCACCCCCTCACTCTCTTGGGCGAGCTCCTCCTTATCGACAGCTTCTCCTCCTGTCTCCTCCACAGTCTCATCGTGCATCAGCTTCTCCTCCTGTCTCCTCCACAGTCTCATCGTGCAAAGTGCTCGAAAGTACCCTCAACTTCATTGAGCACGTTGTTGTCAGGAAGACAACAACATGACTGTTATCTGTAACCATCCAACCATCCTGACCATGGAAGCTGGCGGAACGAACAAGAATCAACCTGGCACTAGCGCTATTTCCCACACGTTCCAACTCGACCACGAGATCTCTAGGCCTTCAATCGATTCCTTAGGCGCTTTGAAGCCCAACATCGCTGCACATAGAGACTACCTCTACAGAGAGCAAGTTCATGGCAAATCCATCGACAGACATGGGAATTTGCAACGCCCTGCCTCTGTGGACGACCTGCCTCTGTGGAGCATCGAGATATGACTGGACAAGCGCACATCTCTTGTTTGTCCTCATATGCCTGGACAAATCTATTCTTGGCACTGTTTGCCGACTAATGCTTGCCGACACTGCGTTCCGACGAAGACTGATGTCCATCCTCAATACGACAGGCACATTCAAGCGCTGACGGTCATATCAGCCCCCCTGGGTTTGATTACAGTAGAGGCGCATGTCACTCGTGCGAGACAGACTCCTCAGTGCCTTGAATGAATTACATGTACCTTTGATGGGGCTCGACATACCAATACCTAAACGTGTGTGAACGAGTATAAACGTGTGACTCTTTGACACGCTATGTGGTAGACGTGTGTAGATTAAAATCTCTTCACTTGGTATGTTCTTGAATGCCTCAAGCTCTGCAGGCCCATCCTTCCAAACTGCATATGCGTCCTTTAATTACAGTCGTACTCTAATTGGCGTACTCTAAAATTGAAGCGTGTCAGGCCCTACCCAGGCCCGGCCTGTGTTGCTGACGCCCATGTGCATGGGACGGGCAGCGGGAAGAGGGGGAAGAAGACAAGAGAGAAGAGAAGAGCTAGGCGAGCATTGAGAGGCTGTGCTCCTGAGATACCCTCCTCCTCTCCTCTCTTCTCCGCCCTTGACCTTGTCAATCCCGCTAACAACCTGCCTCTTGAACGAGATCCTACAGGTTTTTGTTCAAACCAAGCTCCCTGAGACTTGATATCGCTACATCAATGGCGATAGGACTTAACATGGCCTGTCTCAACAAGCTCACTTGCTTCTGCGTGCTCGCTGTCACGGTCTTCGAGATCGTCTCCAACCTGGTCTCCTCGGACCAGTCCTTCTCCGACCTCCTCGTCACGAGGATGCTCAGCGAGTACGAGCAGAAGCTCAAGGGCGCCCCACGGTGCAACTCGACCCGCGAGTACGCTGTCTTCACCATCATATCCAGCACAGATCCGGACTACCCGAGAGGAGCGACCACGCTGAGGAAGAGCATCACCTTGTTCGGGAAGCTTGACAGCTGCCGCGTCGAGACCATCTCGCTGGTGATCGACGAGGTAGCGAGAGAGCCCTCGTTCCAGGCAGACCTGCAGAGGATGAAGGAGGTGGGATGGAAGCTCGTGCTGGTACCCGAGATCAAGATGCCGGAGAGCATGATAGCCAAGGTCGACTCTCCTCGCTTCATCCCTCTCTTCACGAAGCTGCACGTGTTCAACGCGACGCAGTACAAGGCGGTGTTGTTCCTGGACTCAGACATGTCGGTGCTGGGAGACATGATGCCGCTCTTCGACCGCTATGTACCCGAGCTCAAGGCCAGGAAGCTCAACCTGGGGTGGGTGCATGACCAGCCCTACAGCGTGTTCAAAGGATCGTCGGCGAACGCGGGGATGATGCTGGTGATTCCGGACAGGCGGCTGTTTGTCGACCTCATCGCAAGCATCACCACGCTGGAGTTTGATGCCAAGATGTCGGAGCAAGGCTTCCTGAACAAGTACTTCGAGCACAGATCGATGCTCCTGCCGGACGTGTACAACTACAACGCGGTCGTGGCTCTAAGGAATCAGAGCTTGTGGGATGCGACCGAGCTTGGCTCCATCGTGATCTTCCATCACACGATCGCGAAGCCTTTCTACAGCATCATCGGGGCAGACCTGGCGTGCCTGGTCAACAACCACTACCACATCTGCAAGATCTGGAAGAAGATCGACAAGCTCAACCTAACGGTGTCTCCTTCAAACTGACACTCGGTTGGAGCTGCAGTGGTTGTGATGTCTTAACGCCCCGGATGCAAATGAGTGAATCGCGTTGAGGAGAGAGGGAGCAAGCTCGGCAGTTGTTTGTGAGGGTGCTATCGTCTTGAAGGTTTTTCTCATCATCGATGCACTTGTTTTCTTGGCCTTCGGTTTTGCCTTCGCTGCCTGCCTGCAGCACCGGATTGAGAGAGGAGGAGCATGTTGGAGTTTGCCTCCATGAGGTCGATGTGCACGTATCTCAAGGCCTTAGGGAAGGTTCAGCACCGACAACGATTGCTCTCTGCAGCAATCAGAATGACTTAGCTGAGGAAATTCTTGATAAACGCACGAGTGAACATGGGCATGATCTTGACAAGAAGTGCAGGAGACATCTCAACGCCTCATACTTCACTTCCTTTTCTCTTCCTCTCTTTTCCTCGTGCTATCAATCCCTCGTACAGCTTTTCTGTGCCTCATATTCATCAATAAAATTCCTTCCCCCTCCCCCCTCCCTTCCCCCCCCCCTTCCCTTCTCTCCTCAGATGCTGCTGAACTTCTTCTTTCCTAACGCGTTCAGCTGCTGCAGGAATTCTGACGCCTGTTGGTCCCGTCAGTCTTGAAGGTCTGCAAACACAAGCAACAACCGTCACGAGCTCTGTGCTCCCGTAGACCACGTTCTTGACCCCCACACCTGCCCCTCCCCTCCTCGCGTAGTCTTGCAGGTCTTGATACTCGATGTAGTTCCCGCTGCCAACCTGCCCGACAGTCAAATCCTCCCTCCCTCCCTCCCTCCCTCCCTCCCTCCCTCCCTCCCTCCCTCCCTCCCTATCCAAGCACATCAGTTCTCACCATGAAGACGATAGCCTCCCGGAAAGGCTTCCTTGTAGCGTTGGACGACATCTGAGCGCTCTTGTGCTACTTGCTGTCAGTGATAAAGCAGGAGGCAGAGGAGATGGAGGGAGAGGGAGAAGGAGAAGGAGAAGGAGAAGGAGAAGGAGAAGGAGAAGGAGAAGGAGAAGGAGAAGGAGAAGGAGAAGGAGAAGGAGAAGGAGAAGGAGAAGGAGAAGAAGGTGGTGGTGGTGGAGAAGGTGGATGAGGAGCAGGAGATTAACCTGAATGTTGGGGTCCAGCAGCATGAAGTTCTCCGCTTCACTTCCTACTCGATTCTCCATGATGGAGTCCACGAGGCGCGTGACGGGGAGATCTTTCTTGCCGCTGCGTCCAGCCAGACGAGTCAGGAGGAGGAGGCGAATGGGTGAGAGGGGGAGGGAGGTATGAAGGCGAAGAAGGAAGGGTTACTGCTGGAAATCAAGGAGTGGGAGGAGTAGGAGGTGATGAAAGAGGAGCTGGATGAGATGAGAAGGAGGAAGGGAGCGGAGATGAAGTAGGATAAAACAAAAAATAGGGAGTTGAGCAGAGCAGCAGCAGTTGAAGTACTAGGAGAATGATGATGATGATGATGATGATGATGATGATGATGATGATGATGATGATGATGATGATGATGATGATGATGATGATGATGATTTGTCGTTGTTGTTGTTGTTGTTGTTGTTGTTGTTGTTGTTGTTGTTGTTGTTGTTGTTGTTGTTGATGATGATGATGATGATGATGACGATGATGATAATGGAGATGATGGAGATGATGACGATGACAACATGATGAGGTGTCTTGCATTACCCGACTGATGCGGCCACCGATTTCAGCAATCCAGTCGCAGTCTCTGTCCCCGCCTTGAACTGGGACATGATGTCCTGCTGACTGTCAGCTTGGGCAGGGACAGAACGAGCCTGACCGTGAGCGACAAGCTGCCGCCTCCTCCTCCCGCTGATCCTTTCGCCATGGAGATTGCTCGAGAGCTCAACGCTTTCATCTTCTTGAGGTACTGCGGCTCCTTCATCAGTTCGAGTTACAGCTGGGGAAGGAAGACCTTGAGATAGCTTGACAGTGACATGTCGACGCCAAGCTTGGAAAGAGCGCCCTCATACCTGCCAGTGGACTCGTCACGCTCAGATCCTTGAGACGAGGGACGAGGAGGGGAGGACCACAGAACGGGTGTGGAGCTGAGGATAGAGCAAGAAGAGAAGTACGGCAACATGAAGGGGAGCCAGGAAAGAACAAGAACGAGGTGGATGAGGCGGGGGAGGGAAGGAAGAGGAGGAGCAAGGGGGCGGAGAAGGGAAAGGAACAACAAGAAAGTGGAAGCGGAGGAGAAAGGAGGAGAAGGGAAAGGGAAGCAAAAGGGACGATGGGATCTCCCACTCACTCGGCCACGTCAGCTTCGGACAAGGAAGGGTTGCATAGATAGTAAATGACAAAGAGCCTCAGCTTGTCCTCCGGGCTCCCCAGAGCGTCTGGACCAAACACCTGCTCCTCTTCTTCAGCTCCTCTCAGCTCCTCCTCCTCCCTCCTTGCCTGCATCAGCGCTGACTTGGCGTTGTAGACTGAGCCGGAGACGATCGCAGACTCGAGCGAGAAGAAGTTGTCGAGCTCCCTCTCCTGCAGAGACTTCAGCTGGCAGCCGAGCTGAGAAAGGCGCTCGCCTTTATCTCGTTGAGCAGCGACGTACAGATGTTTGTGTGCATGTCCAGCAGCCTCTTCCTCTCCGTCAGCTCTGGCACCAGCTGCGCCGCTCGGGTCAGAGCGTCGATCCCTCCTCCTTGCGGCATGTCCGAGACAACGTTCTGAGAGATCGGTCACCACGAGGACGGAAAGGGCAGGGAGAGAGGGAGCGAGGAAGACAACGTCGATGTTGGCGAGGATGGAGACGACGAGAGGAGACGGAGCGGGGGCGAGGACGGGAGATTGAGTAGCAGGTAGAACTTGAGGAGGAAAAGGCGACGAAGGGGAAGATCAAGAGAAGGAAAAGAAGAAGGAGAAGGGAAAGGAGGAAGAGGAGGAGGAGGAAGAGGAGAAGGAGGAGGATCAGGAGAAGGAGGAGGACGAACCCCCTGCGCGCCTATCGCATCATATTCACTCTTCCAGGTATTCAGCTTGTCCTCGATGTCATCAGTGACGCTGGGGAAGGGCTGAGGGCCACAAGTCAGGATCGACTTCTCCGCTCCTCCTCCGTCACCTTCCCGCTGTTGTCCACCCAGAACGCGTCCTGAACGCTGAGGTCGTAGACCGAAGACTTGGAAGCGACGACGTCAACTCAAAAGCTCGAGCTGGAACATGCGCTGCTACCTTCTTTCTTCCACTGCCATCTCCGACTTGCTCGTTGATCGTCACCTGGAACGAGCAGAAGTGACAAGACGGCAGGAGGGCAGGGCTGTACCGACACCTTGTTGAGCTTCATCCCCAGAATGTCATGCAGCATTGCCTCGTAGGTCCACGCGTGCTGCAGGTTCACCTGCCGCCATGCTCGAGCTCAGCGCTGCAGGGCTGCCGCCTGGCGACTCACCGACAAGTCTTGAGAGCGGTCGAGGATGATGAGGACGGGGCGAGAGTGCTGCGGGCCGGGACAAGTCACTCAGATCTCCGTCTCCTCGGCCTCTCACCGCGTTGGGGCTGTAGGCGTGATCCTTGAAGAGGTTGTTGGTGTTCCTGACCTGCCGTCCAACGTCACGTGCGGGTCACGTGCAGCACACATGAGGGGTCACGTGCTCCGAGAGCTTCTTGTTGAGGGCTTCTCCCACCATCCCTGCGGCATCGCCTTGTGGGCAGGCGATGAAAGGAAGAACACCCAGCGTGACCTGAGCAGACGTGAGGGGGGGGGGAGGGGAGAAGAGGAGGAAGAAGAAGAGGAGGAAGAGGAGGAAGAGGAAGAGGAAGAGGAGGAGGAAGAGGAGGAGGAAGAGGAGGAGGAGGAGGAGGAGGAGGAGGAGGAGGAGGAGGAGGCAGCGAGGAAGGAGAAGGAAGGTGAGGTAGCGGTGGTGGTGGTGGTGGTGGTGGTTGAGTAGGAGGAAGGAGTAGAAGAGAAGAAGAGGAGAGGGCGTGAATGGATCAAGAGACGTCCTACCATGACGGAGAAGAGAGAGTTCACGATGCTGCCGATCGTTCTCTCCATATCGGAGTCTCGGACCTAGCGGAGACTGAGATGGCGAGGCAGCAACGGGTCTCGTACCTCTGGGTCGTTGAGCGCCATGTAGGAGTTGTGCATCCCCAACGTGAAGAGGTTGTGCCCCAGAGACACGAAGTTAACGTACTGATCCACTACCTGAACGCTTCCACATCAACCGGGGGAGGGGGAGGGAGCGGAGAGGGGGGCGAGCACAGTACCTTGACGATGCGATGGAACGAGTCTGTCTGCGACACAGAGCATGCCAGACTGTGCAGCGAGTCCTGCGAGATGGTGGAGCTCCAGTTCAGGTACATGCTGATGGCAGGGTCAGGGAGCCTCCCCCCTCTCCCTTCCTCCACCTGTCGTAGAGGCCGCTCGAGCAGTCGCGGGCGATGCGCTGGATGTTCTCGATGCTGGGCTCGACGAGGTAGATCGCTGCCGCATCCTGCTTGAGGCTCCATCACCCGTTCCCCCCATTGCCGCCTGCGCCATGGGCTACCTGCACCGGCTGACGGTCCGCATGAAGGTTGAGATGGAGGGTCACCCCATGCCGGCGGAGATCCGCGACCTGGCAGGCGCTCAGCTCGCACATGGCAGCGCTGCTATGGCGCTGAGCACCTTGAAGAGAGTTGAGACCATGTCCCGCGATAGGTTGTCGTATATCAATATCTTCCAGTTCTCCTACGAAGGGTTCATCCTTGCCCTGTGTAGGAGCCGAACCAACAACGGGGAGACAGGAGGAAGCGGAGAAGACAGGAGGGACGAGGATGGATCAAGAGGACGCACCTGCCAGCTTGTCTTGCTGTCGACTGGGTTGTTGAAATTTAGCATTCTCTCGAAGCAGTCTGCAGTCAACATTACTTGATTTCGGTCAAGCTTCTTCATGTCAGAGGGCTTCTATCATAGCTAGCACAAGAGCAAATGTACAACAACAAACATCTCCACAGCCAGCTCATCTGCTCCTCATCGTCTCATCCTCAGTCCTCAGTACTTGCCCTCTACTTCACCACAGCTTCCCTCCTCTCTCACACACAGGATCGCCTCCTCCCAGCACAGCTCTTCCATCCCCATCTTCATCTCAGTCTCCTCCCTTCTCCTCCCCTCATCTCTCATCGCAAGCATGTCGAACATGTTCGCACCTATCTGCTTGTTCCTGATGGATAGGAAAGGACTCCCGCCCATTCCCTTCGTCGGCGTTCCCTTCCCCTTCCCCGCCGCCGCCATGCCGCGTGTACTTCCGTTACACACGTTACCGAAAGTTCATACCCGTTACTGGCGGTTGTTCCACCGAGTTTTGCACTACGTTTTTCGGAGCCACGCTTGCGACCATAGGAGGGAGCAGGAGGAGCAGGAGGAGCAGGAGGAGCAGGAGGAGGAGGAGCAGGAGGAGCAGGAGGAGCAGGAGGAGCAGGAGGAGCAGGAGGAGCAGGAGGAGCAGGAGGAGCAGGAGGAGCAGGAGGAGCAGGAGGAGCAGGAGGAGCAGGAGGAGGAGGAGCAGGAGGAGCAGGAGGAGCAGGAGGAGCAGGAGGAGGAGGAGGAGCATGAGGAGCAGGAGGAGCAGGAGGAGCAGGAGGAGCAGGAGGAGCAGGAGGAGCAGGAGGAGCAGGAGGAGCAGGAGGAGCAGGAGGAGCAGGAGGAGCAGAAGGAGCAGGAGGAGCAGGAGGAGCAGGAGGAGCAGGAGGAGCAGGAGGGAGAGGGCCGAAAGATCACAGATGTGTTTGATGTCACCTGTGGCGTTGATGTAGGTCAGATCCTCAGTGTCAGTTCACTCCAGCTACAAGGGAGGGGGAGGAGGAGCCTGGGCAGAGCAGATGGAGCTGAGACGAGCGAGGGCGAAGTCCGAGGGCTCAATGGGCACTCGAACACGTGTGTTGATTGTGTGACTAGATCTGTGCTAGTCCACTAGGTGGTGTAGGAGGCGGCGTGAAGCGATTCAGAGGAACTTGTTGGGGTGGGGCATTGTGAATTCATCTCCTGAGCTAGATTGTCCCAACAGGAGACCAGCTGCAGGATGAGTGTTCCCTCCAGGCAGGCACCGAGCAGCACGTCAAGCAGCATGTCGACACCGCTGGTAGGGGGCGACCTTCTCTCCAACATCCCAGAGATCACCGCAACGGTAGGATACGAGCCATTCCTGCTGGCCTGACGCACAACCGCAGGCATCCTACCAGGGGGTGCAGCAGAATGTGCGGGTGAATGCGACAGGGATGTACATACAGGACCTGTTCCTTTCAGCAGACGATGTGTCGGGGATACAGGAGGGCCAGTCGTCTACCATTCATGTGCATGCTTACCCCTACAAGACGGCAGGATGTAGCGGATCAAGACAGCGGAACTACAGGCGACACGACCTCTTCTTCTCGGATCGAAACCAGCATTACCTCAACATCATGCACAACTGGAAGACTATCTGGAGCAGGAGGGACGGCATGCGGTACATGGTCCTCGTCAACCCCTTCGGCGGACAGAAGAAGGGAGGAGAGATCTTCAACGAGGTGGTCAAGCCCTTGCTGTTGCAGAGCACTTCTCGCTTCGAGGCCGTCTTCACCACCCATGCAGGTAGGCTGCCAACCAACGTGCAACTGTACGTGTATAGTGCCCTGCTGACGTGTCGTTTTAAGGGCATGCGAGGGAGGTAGCGGCAGCGCTTGTCCTTGCCGACTACGATGGCATCATCCTCGTCGGCGGGGACGGCCTCGTCTCCGAGATGGTTCAGGGGTTGCTTGCCCGCCCGGACTCCAACCAGGCAGCCCGGGTACCCATCGGTGCTGCTCCTCCTCCTCAATCGTGTCGATGACGCGCTGCCTCAGGGGTCGTACCAGCAGGAACCGGCAACGGGCTGGTCAAGTCACTTCTCAGCACCGCCGGGGACCATCACGACCCTCTCTCGGCCATGCTCGCGATCCTGAGATGCAGGGTAGCAGCTTGCTCTGCTGGGGGAGGGGAATGTTGTTGACGCGTCCTGTCTTGCCAGCCGAGTCCGCTCGATGTTGGTCTAGTCATCCAGGACGGCATCGTCAAGTACAGGTACAAGCTTGCGCTGAACTGTTGAGTAGAGGAAGGTTTGTTCTGGGAGGGGGAAGGGAAAAGAGGGCGAAGGGAAGGAGAGAGGGAGGAGGGAGGAGGAGAGAGGGAGGAGGGAGGAGGGAGGAGGAGAAGTAACATACAATCTCAAGGAGTGTCCTATCATGGGCATGGGGCCTTGTCAGCGATAGCGACATAGAGGCAGACGCCCTCCGATGCTGCTGCGGTAGTTATCCTTTCTCATTCCTCTCCCTCCCCTTGCCCTGCTCCTCCCCTCCTGCATCCACCCTCCCCTCTAACACTCACTCGTCTCACCCTCTTCATACCGAACTCCTCCATCTCGTAACGCAAACTCCTCTCATCCCTCCTCTGCGCATCCGCTCCTTTTTGCACTTGTCTCGCTCATGTCTTGACCATCCTCCTTCTCTTGCTCCCTACCAACAACCATCATCCCAATCCCTCTCGTCTTACATGCACCTGCTCGCCTTGATCGGGTTGCTAGGTCCCATCCGAGCGACGTTACAAGGTGTTGTCAACATCTTTCGCCGCCGCGTGTACAACGGAACTCTCAAGCTCAGGCTCGCACCGTCCGACGTCAACTCCTCCTCTCAAGAGTGGGTCACGATATCCGATCGCTTCCTCCTCATCTGGGCTATGAACGTGCCGTATGCTGCTTCCGACTTGCAGGTCTCCCCGTTGCCCCCCCCCCCCCTCTTCTCCCTCTTCCTCCTCTTCCTTTCTTGTTTGTTATCTCCTCCTCTCCCATTCCCCTTGTTACCTCCCTCTCCCCCACCCCTTAAGCCACTACCCTTTGTTGCTCCTCTTTTTGTTGCTCCTCCCGGCCTGTCTGCCAACTATCCTGATCAAGTCTCAGGTAGCACCCAAGGCAAGTCAGAACGACGGAAGTTTTGACGTTGTAGTCATAAGAAGCCGCGTGTCTCGTCTACAGATGATTCAGATCTTCCTCGAGGTTGAAAGCGGTAACCCCCCCTCCTTACCTTACCTTGCGTTGCCTCCATCCTGCCTCCAACCTTTCTCACTCCCCCACCTCTCCACACCCTTATTCAAATCACAGGCAAGCATCTCCGGCACGAGTACGTCGAGTACTACAAGGTGTGTCCTGCCGTACCTGCGTCCTCTCTCACTTGAACACAAGGTGCGGGAAATGCTCTGGGAACCGGCATGCGACAAAGGCATCGTGTGCATAGACGGGGAGCTCGCGGCAGCTTCCGATCGCTGCCGTTCAGCGCTACCCAGCATGCACCAAGACAAGCAGCTTGCGATGAGCTACAGCGCCATGACGCTGCAAGTGAGCTCAGGGCAGCTTAGTTGTTGGATGCCCTGAGGGTGTTCGGGAAGCGGAGGGAGGGTGTATGCGGGGCGGAGGAAGGACAGGGAAAGGAGATGCAGGAAGGACGGGGAAAGGAGATGTGTGTACGAATATTTGTCCTTGAGGACTACAGTAAACGAAAATTGAAACAGTAGAAAACGAAAACTGCAAGGTTGTAGCTGTGATTGCAATTACAATACGTCCACATGGTATTTTGAATTACTTTCACGGTATGTTCATTGTAATCTACAGTCGGCTTCTCAACATATAGAGCCATATAGTACACGATGGCAACCAATGATTTGTCAGCTCTCGATCACAACCGGATCGATAGCATCAACATCGAAAAAACAAACAACAAACTCAAAAACTAACAACAAATCAAGCGAAGCAGTGAATCGGGCAAGGATGCAAAAACAACTACTACGAAAAAATACACGAGGCACGAGGAAACAATCAGTCGCTCTTTTCAGGTGACGCTGCACTCTTGAGATTCAGCGCGATACCCTTAGTTCTCCACGTCATGTCTCGCGGAACCTGCCGTTACCTCGTCAACCAAGAGCAACCCCACATTGCTCGAGCTGGCTCACCCAGTTGTCCTTGATGATGGTCAAGGCCCGTTTCCTCATCCTCCGCAAGGACTTGGTGGATACTTCGCAAGGCGATGAAGCATTGCTAGCGCTGTTCTTCGCCTCGATGGAGGCGGCGTACTTGTCATAAACATCGTGGTGACCGGCTCCTTCCATGTGCTTTCTTCTCATGAGCACCGCAGCAAACGATTCCGAGCTGGAAGAACTGAGAAGGAGAGAGTGGGTCAGCGACACTTGTACCATCACATCATGCACAAACCTCTCACTGCGCTGCAACTTGTGGCTGCTGCTCGTGGCCTGCCATCCTCGCGACGAGAAGCTTCTCTCGGAATCGTTGGAGCTCACGCTGTGCGGGCTGAGGATGCTGTCGATGCTGTAGGGCGAGGACGGCTCACTGGCCATGTCGTCTTTCCTCGGCTTCTTTCCACTGCGGGTGTCCGACTGAGCCGAGTCAAACCAAGATCGCTTGCTCGTATGCGAAGAGCAGGACCGTGCTGACGGAGGTGCTGTGCAAGGGGCAGAATGCGCTCCATTGTGCAATTCATCCAATGACAGGGGGCTGGGTCTAGCAATTCTAGAATTCAGAAGAGAGAGAGGAGGAGATATTGCGATGGCCTGCAGAAGCTGGGTGTCTTCGCCTCTGAACAGCTTCCCCAAAATCTGAGATGAGATCGCTTCAGTCAGCATCTTTCGCTTGAGGTTCTCTTCAATGCTGTTGACCAAAGACCCGTAGAGGGAGCTCTGGCACAGAGGAAAGAGCTTGTCGGAAGAGAGATCATTCTTCCCTAGATCCGCTTGCATATCAAGATGGAAGGAGGCGGGACTGCTGAGGAAAGATGCTGAAGGGATTTAGAGGGAGACTGTGAGTACTGCAAGAAGTGGAGAGGGTCGCTGGGATCGAGGAAGAAGAGGGATGGATGGGGAGGGGGAGAGCGACGGAGAGCGGAGCGGCAGGAGACACGAACACACAGAATTTGATGCGTGAAGATAACAAGGGGGGCAAGGAAACAACAGGGGTTTTGGGAAAGCGTGAAGGCCCGGGTGGGGTGGTAGCAAGGTATGCTGGTACCCTGGGGTAGGGTCATAATTGCAGTCAAAGAGTAGGGTGGGTACAGAAAACATGAGGGTACATGGGTTGGGTAGTGATGGAAGGGTTGAAGGACTGTAAACAGACCAGTGGGTTCAAACATGGTGTTTGAACCGGGTGAAAAGAACATATCGATACTTAAATGGGGGTAGGGGTAGACAAAGAGGAAACTTTCAAGAGGGTGGGGGTAAAAAAGGGAATGGATTAGAAGGGTGGGGTGGATGTTGAAAGATGCAGGGGTACAGCTAGGGAAGGGGTCCACCAATAAAATCCGGAGACGTCCTGTCGAGATTACGATGGGTGGGGTTGTATTCTGGGTAAAGGGAGGGGTAGACAAGAGTGAAAGGGGTGGTCCGTAATCGGAAGGGGTAAACGCATTCGCCATCCCTCCACCTACCCACCCTCCTACCCCTCCCTCCCCCACCACCCTTCCCCTCCTCGGACAAACATTTTTATAATCCCCTAGGTCTTGCGGAGGAGCAGGGGTGGTATTTTAGTATGGGGATAGGGGTGTGCCGGGAACTATGGAGATGGGTGGTCGGCGAGGAGGCGTAGGTGAAAACAGCGAGAAAGTGACGCTACCAGTGGGGGTCCAACCATTGTAGTTTTTGATATAATCACCAAATTCTATATCCAGTTTTGAAATTCTCTGGTTTCTGTATTTCATAGCATGATACTGTAAATATCATGTGAGAGGTGGCAACGAAAAGACATACTTTGGGGGCCGATTCTTTTTTTCGGGGAAGTCCAGCGGTGACCAGTCTCTTCCGAGTCACTGAAAATATGTCTTTTCGAGTCCAAGAGTGAAACTCCGATCACGTCCCTCCAATGAAGACGTTACCTGCTCACGTAGGCTCCAAGGGGTTGTCCGTTCGATTCCTTCCAGAAGAGCTCAAAAGACGTATTTTCGCGCCCCTACGACCATTGGAAAAGATAAGGGAGATAAGGCGTTTCATGGAACCAACACTGAAACCATTCCATTTCGTCCTCGCAACAAATCATCTACCTTTGGTCACTTCACTCGAAATCGAATATCCTGCCTGTGATTTCATCTGTGTTGGAGAAAAATTCACATAGCTTGAAAGTTCTGTACCCCTCATCCCCAATCTGACCTATACGTTGAATGGGCACTACTTGATACCTGTACTTTCAATTGATGACGGTGAGTAAAACATTCTGTACCGGGAGATGACGATCGGTATCGATATAACCTGTAGTAAAGAGCTCAACAACCGCATGTTGGTCACGGCGCATATAAGGCCTTGAGTGATTATTTTACTTACGCACATAAATTCCGGGCTTGCCTCACGGAGATTGGTGATCGATGGTTACAAACCGTTACCTTCAACATTTCGCGGCTGGCTGGAAGCTGGCAGAAGGATATGGCTGGAAGCGAGAGGGAAGGGGAGGAGGGGGAGGGGGAGGGGGAGGGAAAGAAGGGGAAGGGTAAGGGGTTAACATCCAGGATGATATGCACAGGGTTTAGACGAGGAGGTAACGGGAAGAGGTCCAGAGGCAAAGGATGCTCTTGCCTATTGGGTAGGAAGGGGAAGAGACTCTTCGGAAAGCCCTTGTAAGCTTCATTGCTGGTGTGTTGACGGGCGAGCTCTTGATGGCAGGCCAGCGGGTCCAGCCGCCTGCTCAGATCCTTGTGGTTCCTTGTGGTGCCTTGTCTGTCGTTGGCTGGGTAAAATGGACAGCAGCAGGAAACGGAAGATTGAGACGCGTGGGGAGGTGAGTCTGTTCGGATCTGTAGTCCATGGGCTGATAGAGTTGAAATGCAGGCAGCGAGCGCTCAGATTGCGGAGGAAGAGCAGAAACGGAAGATGCAGGCGAAGCTGGGGAGAGTGCACTGCAACTACTGCAAACGAGACGTCTCGGTTGTTGCCGCATGCCTCTGTCTCCCTGGGGCGAGTTTTCACACCCGTTTGGTGGCAGGATCAGATGTACATCAAGTCGGCGGTGTCGGACGACGTGGATCTGTGCATGGAATGCTTCTCGGTCGGGGTGGAGATTAACGACGTGGAGAAGACGGACGGCAAGAACCCGCACAGGAACGATCACCCCTACCGGGTCATGGAGCGGCTGGACTTCCCGCTCATCACGGAGGACTGGACGGCGAGGGAGGAGGTGGCGTTGCTGGAAGGAATCGAGACCTACGGTGAGTTTTGAGATCTTGAGGATGGGCAAGAGAGGGACGGGAAAGTGGTACAGAGATGAAGGGGTGGGGTGGGGGCAAGGGAGGGGGATGTTGGAGGAGAAGAGAGGGAGGGAGAGGGAGAGGGGGAGTTGGTATATGCTCATGGCTGGTGTAGGTCTTGGCAACTGGGCAGAGGTTGCGCTTGTGGTGGGGACTAAGAAGAAGATTGAGTGTGAGTTCCATTACTACGCCAACTACATCAACACCGGGAGCGGCATTCCTGTCCCCGATGTGTCCCGTGCTATCAGCAAGACCAAGTGAGTCGTTGGGACAGCGCAAGGTGTGCTGTTCTTACCTTCCTGTGCCTGCAGATTCAACGCAAAGCCGTCCAAAGATGATTACAGCGAGTGCATAGAAGCAGCCGTAGCAGGTGCTGGGAAGGTGATTCAATGTTGTTGCCCCTCTTGCTCCCTCTGCTCTGTTCCTGTTTTCTCCTCTCTCCCCCTTTCCTTCTCTCCTTTCCTTCTGCATCGCCTCATCACTCCCTTCCGTCCCTCCTGCTCCTTTCCATGGCTTTTCTCCTCTTTCCTGCTCACCCTCGTCCTTCAGATCCCGGGGAAGTTCACAAAGTCGGAGTGGAAGAAGGCGATGCTTGGTGAGCCTCTTGCGCCGTGTAGGAGGGAGGAAAAAAAAAAGACGTGACAGCCGTTGTCAGAGACGAAGAACATCACGAGAGAAAGCATCCGATACTACGAGGGGAAACCTGCTGGATCGGACATAGTCGGGTGACTCCGAGGATCTAAGTTGCTCGTTGTCTGCTGAAGGTGCCGCCTTGCAGCTACATGCCGTCGAGAAACGACTTCGACGTGGAGTGGGACAATGATGCAGGTGGGAGGAGGAGGAGGAGGAGGAGCTTGTCGTATGTCTCACGATTTCTCTTTGGATGACTTCAAACCTCTGCAGAGATGCTGATCTGCGATTGTGTTTTTGATGACAAGAAGGTGCCTTCAGCCTCTCACTCGCTCCACATTGATGCTCCTGCTTCCAGGACACTGACCAAGACAGAGAAATCAAGACCAAGGTGCCGCTGATACTCTCCGAGGGAGAGACTGGAAGCCGCTGACGTCGCCGGGCCTCCTCGCCAGGTTCTGGAGATTTACAACTGGAAGCTCGAGGAGAGGGAGAGGAGGAAGAAATTCATCCTGGAAAGGTGCGAAGCATTCGGTTGCCGGAGGAGCAGAGGGATCAGAGGAAGCGATAGTAAGGGCAGGGGAGGAGGGTGGAGGAGGGAGATGGAGAAGAAGAAAGCACAGGAGGAAGGAGAGGAAGAGAGCAAAGGAGGAGGCGATGGGAGGGGGGGAAGCGGCGGGGGGGAGGGGGAGGATGCGGCTGACATCCCGGGAAAGAGGCCTACTCGACCTCAAGAAGCATCAGAGCCAAGAGAGGAGGTGAGAAAAGATGCCGTTTGCCGGGGGAGGCTGAAGATGAAAAATGTAGGAGGACGAAGGACGAAAGGGAACTGTATGCTCAAATGCGTGTGTTCGCTCGATTCTGGTCCCAGGTGTTCCCTCCCCTGCTTCCGCTCTTCCTCGCCCACTCTCTCCCGCTGCTCTCCTCCCTCCAACGTTCTTCCCCGCCAACTATCTCTCCGTCGCTCTTGTCCCTTCCTCCCTCTCCCTTCCTCCTTTCTTGATCTCCTTTCCCCTCTCTCCTTCTCCTTCCCTCCTCACTGCTCCCGCACACCTTCTGATGCCTCGCAGGAGGAGCACGAGGAGTACATGAAGGGGCTGGTCCTGGAGAAGCGAATCAGGAAGCACATCGAGCTCCTGCAGTCGTACAGGAAACTTGGCATGCGTACTGAGGAGGAGGTGAACGAGTACGAGAAGAAGAAGAAAGAGCAGGTCCAATTCCTCCTCTATCCCTTTCCTCCTCCTCCTCTAGTCTCCCTCGCTTGCTTCTCTTCCTCGCCTCATCCTCCAATTTCCCTCTCACAGCTGCAATATCTCTGATCGCGATCGTGGCAGGAGGAGAAGCAAGGGAAACGAGGAAAGGTGTCGGACACCATCTACTCCACGCACAAGACGGGCTCACAACGGAGGTGAGGGAGAGAAGGAATGGGGAGGGAATGGGGCCTAGAGGGGCAAGGGGAAGGAGCAGGAGCAGGAGGAGGAGGAGGAGGAGGCTGGAGGAGGAGGAAACAAGGACGACTTTGGGAATTGATTTGCGGCAGGTCGAGGAACGACAACGACGAGGAGAACAACGAGTCGCTCGGTGAGGAGCAGAAGAGAAGCAGGGAGTTGAAAGTGACTCCTCGACCTCCTCCAGGCCCCCTCCTGCTCGGCTCCTCTAAGGATAAGAAGCAGGTAGCTCAAGTTTTTGTCTCCACGACCGCCACCACCTTCTCCTCCACCTCTCCCTCCTTGTCCGCTCCTCCTCACACTCCCTTCTTTCCCTTCCTCCTTCCCTCCCCCTCTCCTCTGTCTGCTCTGCTTGATCTACCCGCTAACCCCCAAACGCTCCCTTCCATGGTCCTGCATCTTCTGACGGCTCTCTGATCTCTCAGCTGGGCGCGTTTGAAATCAAGCAAATGCCTGGCGCTGATTATCTCTCGCTTATCGAGAAGCAGGTCAAATCTTTAAATCCTCCTCGTTATTTTTTTCTTGCCTTCCTCCTCCTCCTCCTCCTCCTCCTCCTCCCGCTCCCCTCCCCTCCCCCATTTCTTCCGTCGGTTTGTGCCGTGGCTTTCTGTTCCATCGCTGAACAACCTCTCTCCTCTCATTTCTTTCAGCTCTGTATCAGCCTCAGAATGTCCCCCTGCGAATACCTGGGCCTCAAGGACGCCTTCACTCGAGAGGTTTGAACCTCCTCCCCTACCACCCCCTCCCCCTCCCTCTCCCTCTCCCTCTCCCTCTCCCCCTCCCTCTCCCCCTCCCTCTCTTACTCCACCAGTTTTCCCCCTCCTGCTCCCCATCGTTCTTCCCCCTCATGCCCCTTCCGACCTCTCCTTTCTCTCCTACACCCCTCCTTCTGCCTGTCTCATCTCCTGTTTCCCTTCCTGCTCCCTCCCTGTCTTTCTCGTCGCATCCTCCTCCTCCGTCACCCGCCTCTGCTTCTGTTGCTCCTCCTCACTGCCCAGCAGGGCGTTCGCAGCGGATACGTCAGGAAGGAGAAGGCGAAGCAACTGCTGGCTGCGAGATTCCCCGGCCTCGATGCCAGCAAGGGACTTAAGTAAGTGGAGGAGGAGAGAGGTGGTGCAGATGGAGGCAGAGATGGAAGGGGGGCGAGGAGGAGGAGGAGGAGGAGGAGGAGGAGGAGGAGGGAAGGTGGTGGTGGTGGTAGTGGTCCGCTAATGCGCCTTGTCAGGGTGTACGACTCGATGGTGAGCTCGGGATGGATCAGGCCAACCCCTGCGAGCTCGACGAGCCTGCACTGAAGGAGGGAGCGTGAAGTAAAAGAGGAAGAGAAGCTAGTGCTGGTGCAGGAGCATCGGGAGACCAGGACCAGGACGAGCACGAGAACGAGCACGAGCACGATTAGGAGCAGGATGATTGAAATGGGAGATGCATTGATAAAATTGAGATGATCTGGATTTGTTCTCCTTCACTTGTTGAAGATGAGGATGAAGTTGTTTGCCGGCATGCTCTCTGCCCTGACAAACTTAAGACCTGAGGGCTGAGACGTGAGCAGAAAAGAGAGAGGAAGGGTAAGGCAGAGGACAGAGGGGATGCAAGGGCAGGGGAAGGGCAGGGAAGGGGAGAAGGATGAGAGAAATCGGGAGGAGGGAGAGCGGAGCCGGGGAGGTAGAGGAGGGAGGAGGAGGAGGGAGGAGTACAAGTGTAATGATGTCACCTCTTTCCGAGCCAGCAGCCTTGAGATCGTCGATGTCCCTGTAGCCTGAAAGAAATTGAGTTGAGGAAAGGACAGCGCTGTACAGAGAGGTGAGAAGGCGAGGACAAGGAGGAGGACGAAGACGATGACGAAGACGAGGACGGGGACGGGGACGGGGACGAGGACGAGGACGAGGACGAGGACGAGGACGAGGACGAGGACGAGGACGAGGACGAGGACGAGGACGAGGACGAGGACGAGGAGATCGTGGAAAGCAGCCAGCAAGAGAAGAAGGAAAGAGAGGGAGAGGAGCCGGGGGGGCCGGGGGGGGGGGGGGGGGGTCGCAGGGAAGGAGGAGGTGGGAAGGGTGGAGAGAGCAACAGAGAACTCCTCCTCTTACCCCACTCAGAGTTCTGACTCCTTAGCTTCTTGTCGAACTCCTCGTTGCTCTCAGTCTGTTTCTCAATCAGAATCTCTCCCTTCCCTTCCTCTCTTCGCAACTCCACCTCAAAACTCAACCCCCAGACCTCCTCTACCCCTCCCTCCCATCTTCCTCTCGTCTTCCTCTCCTCTCCTCTCCGTCTTCCTCTCCTCTCCTCTCCTCTCGTCTTCCTCTCCTCTCCTCTCCTCTCCTCTCCTCTCGTCTTCCTCTCCTCTCCTCTCCTCTCCTCTCCTCTCGTCTTCCTCTCCTCTCCTCTCCTCTCCTCTCGTCTTCCTCTCCTCTCCTCATCATCCCCCTCCTCTCATGCTATCATTTTCATCATCATCATCAGCAGCAGCAGCAGCAGCAGCAGCAGCAGCAGCATCCCTTTGCAATCCTCTTGACTCTGCCCATGCCATTACCGTGCACTTGCCGTCCACCTTGAACGGCCCGTAGATCATCAGCACGCCTCCCTCTCGCAGCAGACGAGCAGCAGTAGCCAGCAGCCCCAGGGACGCAGCCCAGGGTGAGATGTGGGTGAGGTTGACGGCATAGACGAGGTCGAAGGAGGAGGAGGAGGCCCAGGACTTCTCCTCCCAGTGAGGGACAGCCGTCATATCCAGCTGCTCGATCGCAAGCACGTTGCTCACTCCCTCCTCCTTCACGTAGGCGCGGATGGAGGCAACTGCCTTGCTGTCGAGGTCAGTCGCAACGAACTTGAGGAGGGGAAGGTTCTTGGCGAAGCAAGACACGTGCTGCCCGCTGCCCTCAGCAACTGCCAGCACCTTGCCTTCCCCCTGGGGGACCAGAGTCTTCATGACGTCCAGGATGGGGGATACGTTCCTAGATGCCGGAGCAGAGAAGAGTTTGTCGCCATCAGGAGGAGGGTTGGATGGCGAGGAGGAGGAGGCGTCGAGGATGGGGCCGTTCATGAAGACTCTTGTGCGGAAGTTAGCGTTGGTTCCTGCTCTGCCGCGTCCTTGAAGAGAAGAATCAGAGAAGAGAGGAGAGCGGCGGTTCAAAGGAGAGAAACGTTGATGGAGACAAGATACACATGCATGCCGGGCATGTGGCATAGAAACCCGCAATGCCGAGATGGAGGGTACGAAGAGCATCGAAGACGAGGGAGGGGAGAGTGGGAGAGGGGATGGCAAGGGAGGGTTGGCACGGAGGATGTAGGGAGAGGAGGAGAGGACGATGTTACTAGTGGTGAGGAGGAGGGAGGAGGAGGAGCAGGTGAACGTGAGGAGGAGGAGGAGGAGGAGAGGAATGCAGCAGCCCGCCATGCGGAAGCCGCAGCCTTCTATGCTGCAGTGTATCCTTCAGGATACAGGGGGGAGTGATGATGGCAACCACCGGGTCCGAGATCCGGGCCCGCTGAGTGACTCCGATATTAGCATGCGGCTTTCAAGCTTGACTAGCCGCAGCGGGAGGACAAAGAAGAGGGAAGAGCAGAGCAGAGCAGAGCAGAGCAGAGCAGAGCAGAGCAGAGCAGAGCAGACTCTGAGCAGAGCAGGGCACCGTCTGAGCAGGGCAGAGCACTGCGGCAGAGCAGGGCAGGGCAGAGCAGAGCAGAGCAGAGCAGGGCAGAGCAGAGCAGAGCAGGGCAGGGCAGGGCAGGGCAGAGCACTGAGCGGCAGGGCAGGGCAGGGCAGGGCAGGGCAGGGCACCTACAGCAGGGCAGGGCAGAGCAGAGCAGAGCAGAGCAGAGCATCTACTAGTAAGAGCGCGTAGCGGGATGGCCCGGGGTGATCGGACAGCGGCAGTTGACAGTGGGATGGGGTCAGGAGACTCTCAGTCTTGGACTCAGTTGAGGGACTAGACTAGCCCAAGGTAGTGTGTAGACGTGGCGAGTCGAGACGAGAGAACAGCAGAGGGAAGAGGGAGAGGAGGTGATGCTACAGGGACAGGTGGCCTGGTGAAGGCTGAGTGGAGAGGAGTAACTACACTGATTAAGTTGAAGATGACTGGAAGCTAACTGCTCTGCAGCCTAGAACTGACAGCAAGACCTGGTGAAAAACAAGGTCGAGACAGCATCTCAAACTTCAAGGTAAGCGGACAGCCAGTGGCTGCGGATTGAGAGGAAGGAGGAGAAACCTGCTCAAAACTCGCTTGCGACGAGCTGCAAGGGTGGGAGAGAGCGAGAGAAGAGGATAGAGGAGTGAAGATGATCGGAGTAGAGACAAGAGCCCTTGGCGGCGCTACTGGGCCTGAGGGGATGCCCACCATGCACATGGCAACGCTGCGGATACAGCGATCTCAGGAGATTCTCGATCAACTTGACAGCTGGGAATTTTTGCTGGAAGACGCGATAGAGCAGATGTACCTTGACGATGCTCGACTGGAAGTGGCGCAGGAGCAGCGGGAGGAGGAAGGAAGGCAAACCGAGCATCGAGAAAGGAAGGAGAGGGAGTCGGAAACCTCGAGACTGCTTGCAGAGATCGAGATCGAGCAAATTATGCTGTCGGACATGGAGCTGCCAGACAAGCTTTTCCGTTGCGACGAGATCCTGTTTGCTCTGCCGGAAGAGAACAGCGTGCGGCACAGGAACTTCATGAGGCAGATCAGAGACAAGGTCACGGCGTTTGCCAAGGGCAGGTACACTGCCATGCCGACCGGAAGAGGAGCACCAGGAGCGCAAGAGACTTCCACGGAGCTGGCAGAGGAGGAGGACTCCAAGCTCGACAGCAAGGAGGACGAGGTGACCATCTTTCGAAGCGCAACGCAGACCATGAGAGAGAGTCTGCGGGAGCACCACGCTTCCACCTACCTGACTGATCCCTCAACCACTACCAAGTGCGCGGACTGCATCATCGTCGGCCTCGACTTGGAGCCCTGCCTTGGCATGCGGGTGAAACCGCTCAAGGCGGACCAGAACAACCCCAGCAGCCGAGCTGGGATGATCGTTAGCGTCTCCTCGGACAAGGACGCCGTCTTCGTGCTCTGGGAGCATCGGCCTGAACCCTGCGGCTGGTACAAGTGCGGGCACTTGCGAGAGTACTCCCTGCGATCCCTCTTGGAGACCGAAGCCACTCACTTCCAGGTCAGTGTGCAGTCAACTTGTTCTCTTGTGCGGCATGGCAGCGATCGGATAATGACTTTGTCTGTTCTTCTTTCTTGCCAATCACCCTGCTCTCCTACCCGACAGCTCATCAACCCGACCAAGACGGGAGGAAACAGCAAAGAAGAGATCGAGGAAAGGTAGTGAGGACTGACCGTGATCGAGACGGTACTGAGACGAGTCGGCGCTTCTGACTGATTACCACAGGTGGAGCTTTTACTCGGCAGACAACCAGGTCACCACCAACTTGCTCGACCATCTCACCAGTTGGATCTGATCGCCGGCCCACGGCCGACCGTCGGTCTGCCATGCCCGGCCGCCGGGAGGCTCCGTTCCCCGGAGTACGGCGCCGCGCGCGGCGCGGCGGGCCGCCCGGCATCCGATCGGAACCGTGTCGGGCCGGCGCCGGCGCGGCCCCGGGCCCGCCGGGCCCCCGCGAGTAAACTCAGTGTCAGCCTTGAAACTTACTACGGTTTTGTCGGAAGGTTTCCGACCGGCGGCCGGCCCACCCGACTCGGCGCCGCGACCGGACCGCGGCGTCAAGGGCCGTGAAATCAACCGTGGCACCGGTGACTCGGCCCGGGTTCGGTACTGAGCCTAGCCGCTGAGCTGCCAGGCTGCCAGGGCCACCCGGCCCGGTCCGTGGCACACTGAGCCGACTGAGTCACAGACTCCCGTCAGACACATGACTCAGGCCGTCGGACCGGGCCGCGGCCGTGAGCCGCTGAGCGGCTCCGCCCGCCGCACGCCCGGGACCCGGGCCGCTGAGGCTGCCAGTCGCGGCGCCCGGCCCGGCCGGCGACTCTGAGTCCCGGGTAATCATGAGACCGTCACTGTGTCACGAAATAAGTTCATGCCAAGCTGAATCCTTGGCACTTAAAGAAGACCAGGGAGAAGGAGGGGTAGTAAGAGGATGCTCGTGGGGAAACACGGGTGCGTACTCCAGTAATTCAGATGGTGGGGGTGGTACCTAGAAGAGGGTTGCATCTCTAGACTCAGGGAGATAGGGGTAGGTGAGGGAACTGGGTGGGTTGTGGAGTGAAATGGGGGTAGGTAGTCATGGTAAAGTAAAATAGTATTAGGGTAGGGTCCACACAAATGGAGGGGGTAGTATTTGTATCAACGAGAGGGAACTTGGGGGGTGGGGTCGTGGTTGAGTGTGTAGAGGAAAGTGCAAAGGACTTAGGGGTGGTGGGTACTCCAGGAACTCGACATCTTAATGGTGGTAGGTACTACCCATGGGTATACGGAATAAAGGGGGGTGGTCCATGGTGAAATGAAGAAAACTTCAGGTTGGGGTGGGGTACTACCTTTATACGATAGAAAGGAAAGAGGGGTGGAGGTGGCGAATGTAATAGTTGCTCGGTAGAATCATGGGGTGATTGGAGATAAAAGTACCGGTATAAAATATGGGGGGCTGAAATGAGGGTAGGGTGGTCACAAACGAGTCAGACTCAAGGGCCCGAATTAGTCAACTAGGATTTTCTGACACCCACCCCCTGTCATTCACCCCCGCCTCGGGTCTGTCATTGAGGGGTGCTTGGATGGTTGAAACCGGTGGGTGGGGTGCCATTGTACTCGTGGGGTAGGGGGCGGTGTGGAGGGTACTACAAGGACCCCCGCATACCCTGTGATAGTTTAGTTAAATTAAGTTTCATTCATCAAAGTTTACTTATCTTTTTCTATCAAATGCTGTAAAATCAAGTCTGCCTCAGCATTTTAATAGGATAGTTGACTAATAATAGAACTGAGAGGTGGTATAGATAGGAGTCTAAAATATTTCATATGATGAGGGTGAAATATTGCGATAATATTTGCAATTGTTTTGAAAATAAGCCGATATTTTCGAAACTGATTCTAATATCTAGAGCCCCTACCGGAAAGCATTTAACAGGAGGTCAGGCTTTCTGTCACCCACCCCCTGAGATTCCCGCAGCCTCCTCCTCCTCCTCTACCCCCCTCCTCCTCTTGCGCTCCCCCCCCCTGCTTCCCGCTGCTCCTTCCACCTAACCTCTCTCCTTCGTTCCTCTCTGCACTCTACTGACTCACTGCTCCTGAGTTGGCTCCGATCTCTCCCTGCTCCCACCCGCTCTCTCCTCCTCAGGCTCTTTCCGTCCTCCCTGAGTTCCAGGACCCACACGTGGCCTCGTGTGACAGGACTGTGGCTCGAGCTTGAGGAGGATAGGTGCTGTTCCTTTACCCAGTTACCTCGAGAGAACAGCAAAGACAGAGCACAGGAAGCGGGAGTCAGCGGCAGGAAGAGAAGAGCAGCTGCTCGTTGAACAGGGGAGGGAGGCCGACCCGGGGCCACGTTGATTGCAGCGGCAAGCATGTGCTCCACTGACAGGACTAGCGTGCAGAGGAGGAACGTGAAGGGGGAGAAGGAACTGATTCGCGAGGGAAAGAATGCTGACGCTTGCCAGAGGAGGAGCCGTGCAGAGGGCAAGAGAGTTTCGTCGGAGACGCTTCAGTTCGCAGCCATCATCTCCCTCATGGCCCTCATCTCCTACTTCACCATGCCCGCCACGCTCACTGCGCGAGTCCCAACGGTCGGGCATGTCTGGTACTATGGCTGGCTGGCCGCCTTGTCCACCGGGCTGGGAGCGCTGCCCCTGCTCTTCTTCAGCAAGCCCTCGGACTTCTGGCTCGGAGCCTCCAACGCGATCGCTGCTGGCATGATGCTCTCAGCGAGCTACAGCCTGGTGACGGAGGGAGTGGCGCTGGACCCTGACGGCGCCTCCCTGCTCGGCTACGAGATCTCGCACGTGACGCGGGTGATCGTTGGCGTCATCCTGGGCATGGTGTTTGTGCGCTACACCAAGAGCTACGTTGAGGGGTACGAGGACCTGAGGCTCGGGGACATCACGGGGCTGGAGGCCGCCAAGATCTGCTTGATCGTGTCCGTCATGACCCTCCACTCCTTCGCTGAGGGGTTGGGCATCGGCGTCTCCTTCTGCGGCAAGGGCGGAGCGCACCTGGGCGCCTTCATCTCTGCCAGTCTCGCCGTTCACAACGTCCCCGAGGGCCTTGCGGTAGCGCTCGTGCTCGTTCCCCGCGGCGTACCCAAGTTCCAGACGTTCGCCATGGCGATCTGCTCCAGCCTGCCGCAGCCTCTCATCGCCGTCCCCGTCTACCTTTTCGTGGAGCAGTTCATCGTGTGGGAGCCCGTTGGGCTGGGCTTTGCGGCGGGCGCCATGTTCTGGGTAGCGTGCTTCGAGTTGATCTCCGATGCCATTAAGGAGATGTCGATCCCGATGTAAGTTGACGTGAGGAGGGAGGGAGGGAGGGAGGGAGAGGAAGGGCGGGGGGGGGGGAGGAGTAGACATGCTCGGCAATCGTGTTTCTAACTGAGGTTGCTCAGGTGCTCCTTCTCTCTCTCATGCTCCTTCGCGGGGATGATGGCGATCTCAGCATGGATTGACGTCGTCACGGCTCACCCGGAGAGCTAAGGACTGAGACGTTGAGCTCAGTTTGCTGTTTATTCGTTTTATCTTTGTAGCTTCATTGGACATCTTATGCTATGAAACATTTTTATTATATGACCCGAGAAACGTCACACCCCGGCTCCCCGCCTCCTCTACCTCCTTCCCTACCCTTCTCTCCTCTCTTCTTGCCTCTCCTTTCGTTCCGTTTCCACCCTGCCCTCGCGCCTACCCTATCTCTTTGTATCGTCCACTCCTCTTGCTTTCATGATAACCTTCTTGCATCTGTTTTCTGCAAAACATCTCTCGGTGATTTCTTCTGTCAAACATTCTCTGCTCTCTTTCTCCAACCTCGTTGGTTCACCTCCGGATTTTCTCTTTCTTTGAGACTGCGGGCGCTCGAGGACTAGAAGAGCGTTCGAGGTAGACAGGCTGAATGGCAAATGCGCTTTCACGTTTTTGCAAGATCATCGCATCTCGGGTTACATGATTGTGCGCTAGCTTCTGCTATTCGCATTGTTGTCGTCATGTGGCCGAGGCAAGACAAAGCTATTGGAAGATGATAAGGATGGGGAGCGTGAACGGGGAAGAAACAATGCAGGTGTAGTTGCACAAAGAGAAGAAACGAGACAAGTGAACAAAAAGGGCAGGAGAGAAGATAAGACACAATCTGATCTTGCTTTGCTCCCTTTCACATTCTTCACTGCTTGCAGTGTTAAAATCTCTACAGCACCCGCACACTTGAGATCGTGTCGGCAAACAACCAGAAGTACAGCAAGGCCATCAGCGATGTCAGCCCAGACCCCAGCAGCAGCCACACCACCCGCTGCGCGCACGAGATCCTGTTTTCCTCTTCTCCTCCTCCTCCCTTCCTGGCATCCAAAGACGCCCTGATAGCCGCGCCTTCACTCCTTCCCTCATTCCTCCTCTTGTCTTCCGTGGTTCGCAACCTTGCTTCCTTGGTCTGCGTCCGGATTCGATTACCTCGCACGACGCCCTTGTCCTCGAGCTGCGCTGTCGTGATAAGGCTCCTCATCAGCAACTTCACCCGCAGCTCCCTGCTCAGCGACCGGACATGTCTTGACCCTTCTTCCGCCCCCTCCTCCTCTAACCGCCTCGCCGACTCTCCGGCCCCAGCCCCATCCTCCTGTAGATCTGTGTCATCATCAACCTCCTGATCTCCTGCAGGAGCTCTGTCTTCGCCTCCCGCATTCTCTTCCTCCTCGTCGTGTCCTGCAAACTGCTCCTTCTCGTCCTTGTCTTGCCCCCAGCAAGAAAACGGCGTGAAACTCCTGTCATTCTTTGTTTTCCCCTCCTCCTCCTCCTCCTCCTCCTCCCTCTGAGCACTTCTTGCAGTCATCTTCGACTCTCTGACCCCCTCTGGCCCTTCTCTACTCCGTATCGCCTCGGCGAATGCAGCAAGTCTCGCCTGGAATGACTTGATGTCCTCGGTTGAGATGGTCCCGCGCCCTCTCCGTGAAAGGTCCACCTGTTCCTCCTCCGCCTGCTCCTCCTTCAGCTCCTCCTCAGGCTCCAGAGGCTCATCGATCATCGGTCCCTCCGTCTGGAAGAAGGAAGGAAGCTCTGCGGTCGTGAACCTCCCATCGAGATCTCGTCGCCCATCTTTCTCCTCCTGCCCTGCTTGCTCTGCATCTCGATGCTGCTCCTGGAAGCTTGAGTGGAGGTAAGGACTCCAGATCGATCCGCTGCTAATCAACGGGCTCCTCGCCTCCCACTCAGAGACACCCGACGCTCGCTCTAGCAGGAACAACCTGTCTCCCACCCCTGGCCAAGTCAAGTCCGCCGATAACCCACTCTCCTCCCCCTTGAAGGAGCTATCCTCCACAGACATGCCGTAAGGACTCCACGCTGAGTTTCTCACTCCATCCTGCTTCGTCTCGATCAACGTTGTGCCATTCCTGCCTTGAGTCCTGAGGCTCTGACCAGCACACCCGTTGCTGCTTACTGCATTCCGAATGATCAAGTAGTTGAGCTTGTGGAGGGGGTCGAGGCCGGCAGCAGACACGAGCAAGGAGCGAGTGTTCTTGATGAAGTTGGAGTTTCCTCCCTTGAGGTTCCAGATCCCGATCGAGTTGCGCTGCGGGCGGATGCTGAGCTCAATCCCACAGATGTGCGTCAGGTTCTTGTGCTTTGCCTCCAGCAGCGCACTCCAGATCAGCCACAGGCGGTGAAGCGTGTCCTTTTGGTCTGTCAACAGGACCCACTTGCCATGAGCCTGGCAGGAGGAAGGGCGTCAGACACGCTGGCGGCAGCACCAGAGCTGCTGATACCTCCGAGTCATCCCACGTCGGTTTGATGCCCTTGTGGAAGAAACGGATACTGCAGCCATGCTGCAGGGGGATCTTCCCACCCTCCAGAGCACTCCAGAACTCCAGGACGTCGTCCCACCTACTCGCATGTTAGCAGCAGCCGCCATGGTGACGGAGGGGAGAAGACTTACGATGTGATAGGGTGCTGCTCCGAGTGCTCGAGGTCGAAGTCCTGGGAGGTCAGAACCTTGGACTTGGCGGTGTCGATCCAGACTGTCCATTCCCTCTCCAACTTCTGATGGGGTTGAAAGTATGATGATGATGAGGAGGAGGAGGAGGAGGAGGAGAAGGGTCTTGAGGAGGAGAAGGGTCTTGAGCTTGCTCTCACTGCGTCGCTGCTGGTAGCACTGGGCCTAGGGTATCGATATCTGTTACATGGCTGAGCAGGAGGCTTCGGAGTGAAGGGCGCCTCTCCTAGCAGCCCGTCCCCTCTCACATGCCACGATGCAAAATCTTCCTGAGGCGTTCGAGAGCTGCGGGACCAATGCTTCTCGTCACCCGTGGACCATGTGTGGGAGTGCGGCATGCTGCTAGTATGGTAGTTCGCCTTCAGCTTACAAAGAGCATTGCTTCACCTGCTGCAAGCAATCAGTGTTTCAGCGGGATGGAATCGTCTGCAAGATGTATGCGGGAAGATATGCTGCTGACACGCGCGACCTTAACATGCAAAGCTGCGATTGTTGCTCTCTAGCTCTTTCGAGAAAAATCTCTTTCCCTGAACCTAGATAAATCTATTGTTTGAGTGCAGCAATCCACAATCTAAGATGAGTTTCACCGTCTCCATAACTACATCCTCATCAAAACCATCTAACCCAGCATGTCGCAGCCCTCCTTATCACATCGCGGCCTCGCCTGAACCACCCAGCATGTTCGCAGGATAAGCGTTTCAGTTGTTGGGAAATTAGGGGGTAGGGGGTACAGTATGGGCTGCCATCAAGAGGGTAACATTGAATTTTCAATAGCGAGGGTGGGTGGGTACTTACGTATGACCGGTATATTTGAAAGAAAATTGAAGGTGAAAGGGTGGTGCTCATTTGCTCGAGTTTCTCAATTACACAGGGTGGGTAGTAGAAGGTAGGGGTAGGGATTCACAACGTAGGGTGGGCATCGGGTGACAGGGAATGCTACAAAATTTACTAGGGGAAAGTTGAGTCGGGGGGAAAGTAGGGGTAGGGGAGGTAGGGGTGGGGGACGTAGGGGTACGAGAGGTAGGGGTGGGGTCACTCGCCCTCAAAGTCAAGGGTAAATCGGGGGTAGGGTACTGAAAAGTAATGGAGCCATGACCCCTGTGGGGGTGTAATGAGTGGGTGGTCATTTGAAGGGGCGCCTAACACTGAGTACCCCAACCCCTAGCTGTCATTGGGATACCCTACCCCTACCCTTCTCTATCGGCAGAACTACCGTACGTCTCACCCATCATATGACCCCTGGTTTGAACCCCCTCTGACTCCACCCCCTTTGCAGACCACCTACAAGCTTTAATATAGGTAACAACAAGGGGGGGCGGTGAGGGGCTGGTCACCGGGTGGGCGGACCGTGACTCCCGGAGTCCCGGCACAAGCGGCCCGGCGGCCCCCCGGGCCGGGCCCGGCTCCCCGCGCGGCCAGTCACCGTGACGGCGTCTGAGTCTTCATCATCGCCGCGGCGAGTCGTGGCACGGCGGCTGGTACGGCCCGTGTGGGCGGCCGGGCCTCAGCCTCGGGCGGCCGGGCCCGGCTCACTGCGGCCTCCGACCGCAGAGTGGCCCATCATCATGGTGATTCGGCGGGCCGATACTCACGGTGGGGCCCGACCGTACGCTCGGACCGTCGGACCGTGACCGCCGGTCCGCGGCGCGGGGCACTCACTGGCCGGTGGCAGGCGGGGGGGCTCGCCGGATTCGGTTGAACTTAGGAGTCCGACCGTCAGTCACTACGGTAAGGCCGACGGTGCGGCCGCGCCCCCGGGCGGGCCGGGCGTCACAGGGCCTCTGACTGCCGCACGGTGAGCCGGTGCCCTGGCACCGTGGCGACGCGGGGCGGCCGCGGCGGCCAGCCTGACTGGCCCAGTGGGCGGGGCCCCCGGCCGGGCGCGGCCCCGGCGACCTGGCCACAGCCACCGAGGCTCAGCCGGGCCGCGCTGAGCCGCGCCGGGGGCGCGGCGGGACCGTCACGGTACGGTATGACTCGACCGTCGGCGGACGGTCGGACCGTGCCGCATGATCCCGGCCGCCCGTAGTCTCGGCGGCGGCCCCCCGCCCCCGCCGTCACGGTACTCAGCCTCGGACCGTCGTGCGGCCGAGTGCGCGGCCGCGGCTGAGCCCGTGTGCTGGCCGGGCCGGGCAAGTTAACTAGTAACTAGTAACACGGTTCAAGTTGGCTGTTCAAGTTTACTCAAAGTTAGAAACTGGCAGTACGTAGACAATCAGGAGCCTGGTAGTGGAGGCTTGAGTGGGGGGCCGCGCCGCCGTGACGCCGGGTCACCTCTCGGCCCTGGCATCAGTCACCCGCCATGACTCAGTGACTCAGTGCCGGGCCCCGGCGCCGATCCGAGCCCGGAGGCTCAGCAGAGTCGGAGCCACGGTCAGCCCGGGGGCTGCACGGCTGAGCCCGGCGGTACGGGGGCCCGGCCGAGGGCCGCCCGGCTCAGTGGCCTGTGAGGCGGCTCAGCGGCTGGCGACCGTCCGATCACTGAAGGCCCAAACTTTTACTTGAACATCAATTTCTCCGTATGCTACGACAGTGATCAATCCTTGAGCCGCTTCTTGCGATCTATGACGGAGAGGAACCAAAAACACTCAAGTGAGCAGAAAGAAAACCGTCGGAGGGCGAGAGAGGAAGGTGAGTATGACATAGGACGGCGGCACTGGCTGAACTCTAGCAGCACGGAAGAGACAGTGGGAGGACAGGGGCGAGGAAGAGAGGAAGAGAACGAGGATGTAGTCCCAGGCAGAGAAGGAGCAAGAAGGGAGACAAGCAGTCACCTTATCCCATGTTTGTCCAGCAAGACGACACCACCTGCCAGGAGTTCTCAGCTCGCCCCCACCTCCTCTCAGCAGGGCACTGACTCTCTCTCCGACATGGGCCGTGCGAAGGGGACGCGGGGGAGGGTGAGGATCTCATGTGTTAGCCTGTCGATGTAGACACGGAAGGAGGGCCTGCCGTGTCAGGTCAGCGCTGGAAGCATCCCCGAGCAAGCAGCTCGCCTCCTTTGAAGGGAGGCCATCCCTCCTTGGAGGGAATCCTCGTCAATGGGCAGGAGATAGCAGTTGACGGGACTTGACACGCTGCCCTCGTCCTCTCCCTCCTCCTGCGCTGCTTGTCAAACTCATCGAGAAGAGATTCCAGCGGTCGACCACCTTTCTGCCGTTCAGTGGCTTCACCCGCCTGTAGCTGGTATGCTGTGCGTGTCGGAAGAGGCCTGGTATGCAGCGATGCGGATCGGGAAGGAGGCAGGAGCGAAAGGCATAGGAGGTAAAGATGAGAATATTAGAAGAATGCCTACGAGGACGGGAACAAGCAAGGTGGTGAGGGGGGGTGGGAGTGGGAAAGGTGATAAAGAAGCGGGTTGAAAGGGAGCAGGAATGTTCTCTCACCAGTCCCTCGAAAATGCTCGTGGACAACAGTTTCTATTCTCCTCTGACTAAGGACCTGCGCAACACCATCAGCCGCCCACGGCCAGGGGAACGAGGAGCCGATTCACCGTCAGAGAGCTGTCCGGGATCATGTTGTGCACGAAGACGATGTGCGGAGCTCCCTTGAGGAAGGTACCTCCTCCTCGAGGGTCCAGAGAAAGAGATTCCACGTCCTGCTTGAGCGACTCCAACTTGCCGTTGCCCGGCGCGGCATGCTTCTCCGAGCTCCCTTGTCTTGCCCCCCTCCCACTCTCCTCCTCCTCCTCCTCCTCCTCCTCCTCCTCATCCAGCTGTTCAGGAGGCATCCATAGCCTGGAAGGCGTCATACGTACGATGGTCCTGAGGGACAAAGTATTGATCTACCAGTGAGCGGAACGAAGGACAGAGAGGAGGGGTCGGCTCGGAGGGACGTTGGGTTGTGTGACAATGACTACATGGCTGATGGCCAGAATGAACATCATAAGCTGCAGCGACTGATAGAGCATGTAAGAACAAGCTGCCACAGCGCCAGGCAGGCAGCAAGAGCACAAGCTTAGCACACGAGCTGCAGTGGTTGCTTGCTGCCTCTGAAATCAACTCTGGCTGGGTTCAAACATCGCACAGCAGGGGGGCTGAACGCTGTGCAGCAGCTCTCTCGGAGCATGAGGCCGACATCTCGACAAACAGCAGCAGCATCCTCTCACCTGGATATCCATAAGGTGGTCGTAGGTACATGCGATCGCCGGCAGAGGCGCTCCTTCCAGGACCATGTCCAACACCACCGATGAGCTGCATACCGGCTGGCAGTCAAGGAGAATTATCCTCTCTCCTGTCACAGAGCAGGCCGGAGCATGTCAGAGCACGCGTCATGCCCGCGAGGCAGCAGGACACCTGTGATGTACATGTCGACCCCGACGGTCTGGTGGGAGCCCTCGAGCATGATATCTTGCGTCTGTACCACGAACGGCCTCAGTGCAGGCCCGTTGTCTTCGGAGCTGCTGCAGCATCACACGACAGCCGCCTGCCATGAAGGAGGGAGGGATGGATGGATGGATGGATGGATGGATGGATGGAGGGACCTGTTCTGATATCCAGCCAGCTCGTTAAGAATGAAAGACTTCCCTGATCCCTGAAACGAGTTCAGCTGCTTCATGCTCCTCCTCCCCCCTCCCGTCCTCACAGCCATGCCGATGGCAGCGATCACCACGAAGTCCGTGTTCTCCGTCAAGGCCTTCATGGCTTCCCCTCCTCCAACAAAGTCGAACCTCTCTGTCAGCAGCTTGTAGACTGGAGGAGCCTTGCTAGCACTGCTCGGATCTTTTCCTGACGAAACCCTTGCCCCCTCTGACGTTTGCTGTAGAGGCTTCGCTCCAAGGATCAACCTCGGGGCAGGTGCCCCCTCCACCGATCCTCCTGCCTGTACTGCCGCTCCACCCGCCACTCCTGTCGCCCCTTCTCCTTCATCTCCATTCGGAGCATACAGAACCCCCCTCCCCCTACCTCGCCCCCCCCTGCCCACAACAGTGCCTCGGCCTCTCTCTCCTCCTCCTCCTCCCCTTCCCCGTCCTCCCTCGAGACCCTCGTCGTCTCTCCCTCCTCTCCCTCTCCCTCTCCCTCGTCGTCCCCTGCCCCCTCCATCCCCTTCCTCCCCCCACAGCCTCCTCCCTTCCGACATTTCGAGTCCTCCCAGGCCAGATCCGTTACATCATTGTCATGACTGTAACGATCATTCTATGCCCGATCTCTTAACGTGAATTGTAACCGTCATTGTGCGACGTATCAGATCTGTATCGTGTACCCCGCCTCCCCGCTCTTTTTCTTTTTTTTACCCTGGCGCGTGGACTCGTGCGCGTGCGAAGAAATGCCGGGCGAAGGATCAGGGCTGGCGGTGGGGCTGAGGAAGGGCTTCCTCGTGGAGAAGCGAACGCTTGCCGTCCGTCCTTCCAGGAAGAAGGGGGTGAGAACCTGATTCTGATTCCCCCTCCTCGTCCTCTTGTTGCCTTGGGGAGCATGTGTGTGGATGGGTTGATGCCGTTGTTGGGGTTTGATGGTTGCAGGGGAGGGGAGGAGAGGAAGGGTGTTGAGGAAGAGATGATGCTAGGAGAAGAGGAGTTGTATCTGGTTCAGATGTTGTCGATGATGAGAAGGATGCTTCTTTCATTCCAGTTTGTGTCTTGAGTTGAAAATCCTTGCATGTAGCACCTGTGCAACATGAAGTATAATGCACTACACCAGCTCCTGAACCCTTTTACACTCTTGTAATGTATTGTCTGGTGCATCTTATTCAAATACGTATCAAATACGTATGATTTGACTCACGCTTGAAGCATTTGAGTACCGAGATCTCGTTGTCCTTCACTTGTTGATACGGAATGCGACGAAGAAGATTTGCTTTCCTTCTCTCTCCGTTACTGTGGATGGTTGTTCTTTGTGATATTTTGGAGACATCAGATGGTGTTGATAGTTGTATTTTTTACGTGCGCATTTGTACATGTTACTCCTACCTCACGTTGCTCCTACCTCATGTCTTGTCTCGACAAGGTTGTAACCTTGGTTCTACAGAGGTCCACTAAGAAGGTCAAGTTGGTGCGCGACGTGATTCGTGAGATTGCCGGCGTTTCTCCCCTCGAGAGAAGAGGAATGGAGTTGCTTAAGAACGGAAGGGATAAGCGCGTGCTGAAGTTGTGCAAGAAGAGGGTAAGACATGTGACGAGTCGCCCTGCTGTTGGATCATCATGCTTTGATTGTTTGGCACCTGAACTGTCATGCTTCCTGCACTCTTGTACCATTGACATTTTTATCAATGTTATCATCATCACATTGAGGAATGATGTTAGCATCTCCAATTATCACATGTATTTGCAACTTGGTCTCTTTGAAGATGTTTCATGTCATCTCGTCATTTTGCTCTACCTGCTGTCTTGTTGTCATGGTGTCCCATGGATATTTTTCTTCTCCTCTCGGAATCCTGCTGACTCTCTCTCTCTCTCTCTCGCAGCTCGGAACTCACAAGCGTGCCAAGGCCAAGCGTGAGCAGTGCCACAGCATGCTTCGCGCCGCCCAGCGCAAGGCTGCCAAGTAGACTTAAGTGCTTGAGTGAAGTAAACTACGAAAACAGAAGATTGCAGAAGAAAGATGGGGGGAAGCGGAAGAGAAGGCAGAAGGGAGAATTTCCGAGGAAAGAAAGCTCAGTAGGTATCCTGCGAATCGTCGGGTGAGAGCAAGCGAAGGGAGAGGAAGCGGTGGTACGAGTCACATGATTCGTTTCTTCATGCATGCGCTGCTTGACAAGATGCAAACAATACTTGACAATCATCTCTCACAATTTCATATCCTGTGTCAACATGAACAAGTGCAACGCATTGACTTGTTCGCTGGAGCCCTTCTGCTCTCCTTCGTGCCTATCCCGCAACCCACTTGAGCTTGACTGCCCACCCGAAGATGCCGAGGATGCCGCCGATGACGATGGCGAGAGGAGCCGGTGCCTTGAAGATCTCAACAAGGACGAAGCCGATGAGGCCGATGGCAACAGCTGTGTCGGGGAACGGGCTGACGTAGAGTGAGAGCAAGAAGACGATGGAAGCAAAGGGAGAGAAGCAACAGGAGACAAGGAAGTCTGAGGAGGGAGAGAAGGGAGGAGACGTATGAGCGAGAGAGGGAGGGGAGGAGGGAGGATCGGAAGGAAGGGGAGGGGAGGGGAGGGGAGGGGAGGGGAGGGAGGGAGGGAGGGAGGGAGGGGAGGGGAGGGGAGGGAGGGAGGGAGGATCGATTGTATTGACCTGCTCTGACGGACTTTATCGTAGAGGCTGAAGACAGCGGCGACTATGAGGCCAACAGCTGCCGCGTTCATGCCAGGCAGGGCGCGGCGATAGACGGGTTGCTGAGGAGAAGTGAGTTAGAGGAGAGGAGAGAGGAGGAGAGGAAAGAGCAGGAGAGGAGAGAGGAGGAGAGGATGAGAGGAGAGAGGAGGAGGGGAGAGAGGAGGAGGGGAGAGAGGAGGAGAGGAGGGAGAAGTAACTCGAGTACGAGGGAGGGGAAATAAAGCAAGAGACAAGACGCAGACAAACGTTGAATGTAAGGAGGAGGGGGAGGGGGAGGGACAGGAGAACTCTGTCTTGAATCTTGCTCACCTTACGGAAAACTCCCCAGAACGGCAGAGTACCGAAGATGACAAGAACACCTGCAACACATGTGAGCGATTTCAATCGCCTCTTTCTCCTCGTCCTCGTCCTCGTCCTGCTGTTTGCAGGTTCTCTTCCTCTCCCTCTTCGCCTTCTCGGAGTATTATCTTCTGCCATCTCTTACCTCACTTCCTTCTTCTCCTGCTCTACAGTTCCTCCTCCTCTCCTTCAACCTCCTCTCCTTCCTCCTCTCTTCATTCCTCCTCCTCCCTTCTTCTGCCTCACCAGGACCGAAGAGGCCAAACCAGGTGGCGCAGACCCCGACGATGGCGTTGACACCAGCTTGAGACGCCGTGAGAGCTCCGAGGTACGCGGCGATGTTGAAGAGAGGGCCCGGCATAGCCTGATCCTGTGTCACTCCTGCTGCTGCTGCTGCTGCTGCTGCTCCTCCTCCTCCTCCTCAACCTCTCTTCTCTTCCTTCCTCCCGTCCTCCATCCATTCTTGCTCCTTTCACTCTTCACTTTACCATCCTCTTTTTGAAACCTGCTCCCTCCCTTTAACTTTCTCACTGGGCCTTATTCTCGCCCCCGCCTCCACCCCTCCCTCGGCATCTCCTCCTTCTCCTGCTCTTCCTCGTTTTCCTCCTCCTCCTCCTCCTTACCTGGGCAATTCCGAGCCCCGCCAGGAACTGCTCCTCCGTCATCCAACTCTGGACGTTGGGGTTGCTAAAGGATCCATAGTAGGTGTAATCGGGCACTTTCGAGCAGACCTGTCAACGTAATAAAACAAAAGAGGAAGAAGAAGAAGAGGAAGAGGAAGAAGAAGGAGAAGAAGATGATGATGATGAAGATTAAGATGAGGATGATGATAATGCTGCAGGTCGTGGTAGTGGTTAAGGTGGTTACGACAACAAAGACAAGTATGAAACTGACAGGAAGAGTTGAGGAGAACAAGAGAGAATGAGGCTGGAGGATACAGAGAGGCTGCAGTTGGCAACTCACCGTCTTGCCTGCCTCCTCCGCGCACAAGTCTTTGTACTGGACCACCTCCTGCACCAGCAGCGGCAGGACCACCTGCCCTCCTCCGAAGATGATGGAGCCTGTGCGATAGAACGATTCGAACCACCATAGGACGCGGCCTGAAGGTGCGTGAGAGGAGGAGGAGGAGGAGGAGGAGGAGGAGGAGGAGGAGGAGGAGGAGGAGGAGGAGGAGGAGGAGGAGGAGGAGAGTGGAGACGAAAATGAGGGAGTGAGGGTTGAGATCCCAAGAATTTCACCTGATCCTTCATATTTGATTACTGAGGTTCGCAGGACGATAGCGATGACAAGAACGGAAATCCACACGATGAGGAGAATCGCTCCCGTGACCTGCCTGTCGGTTACATCCCCTCTTTCCTCCCTCCTCCCTCCTCCCTCAAGTCTCCTCGCTCATCCCGCCCCGTCACTCTCTTCTCCTTCGCTCCCTTCTTCTCCCCTCCCCTCCCTCCTCATCTCCTCTGCCCTCTCACCTTCTTCACTCCGAGGGATTCAATCCCTTCATTTCCTGGCGCCTCCTTGACGGGATTACTGCACAACCACAAAGAAAACAAGAAGTCATCTCCTCGTCCTCGTCCTCGTCCTCGTCCTCGTCCTCCTCCACCGCCGCCCGTCTGCCTGCCTGCCCGTCCTCTCCCTCCCCTCCTCCTCCTCTTCCTCACTTCTTTCTCTGATCAACGTCACAAGTCCACCGAAGGCAATCAGCGACGGGAAGATCCACGCGCTGGAGAACCTGAGAGAAAAGTCATTGTTTCTTCCTCACAAGCATCTGCTCATTCACATGTAGGCCAAGACAGCCGCGATGAGGTTAAGAATTCTCGTCTCCCTGTCGTCAGCCATCGTTACCGTGCGGTAGTAGAGGCATTCCTTTCTCTTCCTTCCTCTCCTACTCCTTGAACCCTTCTTGCCTTCCTCCTCCTCCTCCTCCTCCTCCTCCTCCTCCTCAATTTCTTCCCTCCTCCTCCTCGATCCTCTCCCTGTTCCCTCCTCTTCACTCGTCCTCGTCCACCTTTCCTTCCTCCACCCCGATCCTCCCCCTCTTCGTTCATCTTCACTCGTCCTCGTCGTCGTCCTCCCCCTTATACCTGTCTGGGCATGTCTTCTGCGAGAGTGTCAGCGCAGCTCCTGCCACAAGTGCGACGCCAACGGCTCCGAGACCGGACGCGAAACCCTGCAGGGCGCTTGAGATTGTGGCAGGAGACAAGCAGGAGATGAGGTAGAGAAGCAAGGATGAGGGCGATAGGAGAACCAGAAATTGAGAGGAGGGAGGGGGAGGAGCGTAAGGGATAGAAAGGAGCAGTAAAGACCTTCAGAGCTCCGTTCTGCCAGTCTACTTGATCAGCAGCATATCCGATGACTGACATCATAAGCAGTCCAGGATACCTGAAAGGCAATAAGAAGGAAAAGAAAGGGCACCGAGACTACGAGGAAGTAGAGTGAAGTAGAGTGGAGGAGAGGTGAGAAAGTGAGGGAGTGAGAGAAGTAGTAGTAGTAGTAGTAGTCGAAGAAGAAGAAGGAGAAGAAGAAGAAGGAGAAGAAGAAGAAGGAGGAGAAGAAGAAGACGAGATAATAGGAAGAAATGGGAGCAGAGAGAAGTGAAGGGGAGAGGGGGAGCAGGGAAGGTTGTTTACTGGAAGAGCATGCCAGAGAGTAGTCCTCCGAGGATTCCTTTCTTGACTACTCCGATAGCAAATGACACCTGTGAAGGTGATGAGAAAAGCGACGAACGGGAAGGAAGAGGTAGAGGGTCAGAGTGGTTGATGGTGTTTGGATAGAAGGATATTGGAGGTGCTTAAGGACGAGGAGCAGGGAAGAAGCGAGGGCGAGGAGAGGGAGAAAGTGGGAAGAAGAGAGTAAGCGAGCGAGCGAGAAGGTGCAAGAGGAAGAAGAGAGAGGAAGGAGGAAGCGAGACGGAGGGAGGAACATGGAGAGAGGCAGAAAGTCTAGCATAGTTGGCTCACCTGGGTCGAGGTCGGTCCCGGCAGGCACTGGCCGAGGGCGAAGAGCTCCATGAAGAGCGAGTGAGACATCCAGTTGAGCCTCTCGATGAAGATCTTCTGGAACAGAGCTTGTAGGAGACACGCTGTCAGCCATGCCGTCTTGCGCAGCCTCCTCCTCCTGTTCTTCTTCTCCATTCCCCGCTTCCCCTACTCTGCGCTCATCCTCCTCGTTCGTCTCCTGTCCTCTACTTTCCTGGTTTCCTTGTTCTTCTCCTGTCCTCTAACTTCCTTCCTCGCTCTATGACTCGCCCCTTGTCATGTTCATGCCTGCTGCTTCTATCCACACTCCAAATCTTTCCTTCGTCGCCTCCTCTCTTACCAATGTGAGCTGCTGGCCCGCCAAACGCAGTCCATCCTTGCAAGCACGTCAAGGAGGAGAAGCACAAGGGAATAAACCACTAAAGCGACAAGACTTGCGGTGAGAAGAAGGCAGAGAAAATTGAGTGCTTGGAAAGACAGAGGAGAAGAAAATGAGTTTAGAGGAAGGAGGACGCGGAGGATCGGTGGGCGGGCCGGCCAGAGGAAAGAGGGGGTTGAAGAGGAGGAGCAGAAGGTAACGACTGTTGTCACCGGGAGGAGGAGATCATGGCGCAGAAGATCATCATGTGAGGGAGGAGGGTTGATGATGTAATCACTCAAACTTACCCAATAAGATGAACTGACGGAAGATGTCTTGATACGAGACCTCAAGGTACTTGGGCGAGACCTGGGATTGGAGCCATCATGGCAGAGCAAGCAGCACGTTGCTACCTCACGTCAAGACTGTTCTTCGACTCGCTCACTCCGAGTCGGACATCGGAATTGTTGGTCTGCAAGAGAGATTGTCAAGGGGGAGGAACTGCCGGCTCGAAACAGCTAAAGAGTTGAGAAAAGGAAACACGAGGGCAGATGCGTGGGAAAAAGTTGGGGTGGGGAGGAGATGGCAAGGAGAAAGAAGAAAGGAGGAGGAGGGAGGGAGGGGGAAGAAGGAGAAAGGAGGAAGGAGAAAAAGGAGGGGAGGGGGGGAAGTAGAGAGGGAGGGGAGGGACCAAGAGAAGGAGACTTAGCATGAGAGATCAAAGGAGAGGAGACGAGGATGTCTCGAGTCAAAGTCATGGAGGGGGAGCATCTCACGAGGTGCACGTCCTCTGACTCTCGGTTAGGAGCATCGTCGGACCTCCTGGCTGCGTCCTCATCGCTGCTTGGATGGACCTTGGCAAACTGCCGTCACTCGCCCTCTCCAGAGCAACAGCTGCATGCTCGGCACCTGGATTGGCAACGGTTGTTCATGGCCAGAGTCCTTCTTCCCCTCCTCATCGGCGCTCATCCTTGCTGGGCAGCGAGTGAAATTCTCCTCCTTCGCGCGCTCTTGCTCTTGCTCTCCTAGCGGGAAGTCACGTCATGGAGTTACAACCGACCAATGGGTGTCATCCTCCTCCTCCTTTCTAGCATCCTCCCTTCCCCCCCCCGGTTCTCCCTCTCCTCTTCCTCTCCCTTCTCCTTGTCCTTGTCCTTGTCCTGGTCCTTCTTCCTCTTCTCCTTCTTCTTCTCCTTCTCCTTCTCCTTTTTCTTCTCCGCCTCCTCTTCTACTTTCCTGCTCCTGCTTATCATCTCCTCATCACAATTCCTTGCATCACATTCCTTGGAGGTAGGGGTGGCACTCGTTGAGTAGGGGTCTTTCAAATCCGTGTGTCATCGTTTACAGGGGTAGGGTTTACTCATGCCAGAATATACCCGGTCTGTCAACCTTTGTACTAGTATTGTGTCAGGGTGGGGTTATGAATGTGCCCTTACACCTGTGGGGTACTTGTATGATCAACAACTAAAAGAGGGTAGGGTAGTCATGTTAGATGGGGTGGTGACAGGATCAAAATGATGGAATCAAATCAACTCTTTTCGGTTTTATCTAGAATACATTATTGGACTACCCCCCATACTTTTACCACCCCTGTCTCCCAGGTTCATAATCAGATTAAGAACCACTACCCCCCTCTCAGCCTCACATTTACTAGACCGGTGCTCATGGGGTTCTTTCATGGACATGACCTGACTACCCCTACCCCCTAGTTGCCGCTCCACGCCTATTTAAAAAAATGGATGTACTACCCACCCCTCCAAATCCCCACATGTACCCACTCTCTGACCATTGAAATCGAACCTTCCAGCGCCTCCACCCCTGTTTCCCTGATACACCCTCTAATGCAATGGACGTAGCTGTGGAGGCGTAGAGTGCGGGAACCAGAGAGTTGGTAGACCGGATGAAATCAATATGTCCACATCCCCTCATTGACCATGTGGGATGGGGATGGCCCATCCCCACTCAGTCCCCGTCAAGCTGCCGAAGTGCTGCCGAAGTGACCTGGAGTCAACGGACAGAACAATCATCCGAATGCAGGGGGCCTTTGAAGGCGCTGATGGGGGGAGGAAGAAGAGGAGAGGAAGAGAAGACCCTGAGAGAGGAGCCCAGGCTGAGTCGAGGAGCAGGATGAGATATTCCACGCCACTGGGCCAGGTCATTCGGGCCAACTCACTGTCGGCTGATCGTATGGTCTGCAAAAAGTTTGTAAGGAGGGGACTAGGGAGTATGCGAGACCACGAACAGAATTAGATCAGATGGACCAGGCACACTGGCAGCTGAAATGAAACTCAAGTACTTCGATTGCCAGACTTGCGAGGAGGTTAGAGCGAAGCATTAGATAGAGATATTGATAGAAATGTACTTGTCTTGTAATGAGGCAGTGGCAGCCAGGCAGCCAGGCAGCCAGGCCGCAAGGCCGTCAACTGGTGTTTGGGTTTCTCACCTGACAAAGTTCGGCAGCGTCAGGTAGCTGGACTGTTGAAGGAGACACAGCGGCTGAACGGCAATGGCGGAGTGCCCGTGAGCTGATTGATAGAAGTCAGGATAATCAGTGAAAGAACGACAGCGAACCCAAGGCAGGTGATGCAGCACATGGAAGCGACGGGCTGTTAGCTCGCCGTGCTCGGTCTCCTCTAAGTTGATCCCTGACACATGCGTCGTTGAGGCTTCTTCAGGGGCAGCACCTTCATTTCTCTTCCTTGACCTCAGCATCACGGCCTGACGCTCTCACGCGCATTCTCACAGCCGGACCTCCGAGGAACTTGACAGTCTCGACCCGTCTGGCTCCAGCCCCAGCTACAATGTCGCGAGCGCAGACTCCGAGGTCCTACACCCCAAGACAGTGGACAGGCGGGACGCTTGCTCCTGCTCGGGACCTGCAGGAGGCAGACCAAGGCGCGTTCCTCCGATCGCAGTCCGTTCAGTCAGCTCCATCGGCTGCGCCGAGCTCGCTGGCGTTAAACTTGAGGGGAAGTCTTTTCAGCTCGAATCAGACCATCCTGCTGCAAAGAGCCATCACCCAGTACACCCCGAGGATCAATGCGATGCTGAGAAGAAAAGAGAAAAACAAGCCGGGTCAGGTGGTGAACAGCAGGGATGAGGACCATGAGCAGCTTGCTCTTGCTCTTGACGCCCTGGACTCGTCTTGCTCCGTGGAGTTGGACAACATCTACGCAAGCTTGTCTCGTGAGGCAAGTCCCGAGACGAACGGAGCGGATTATGAACAGGAAGAGGAAGGGAAACAAAAAGAGCAGCATGCTCCATTATCGCTCACAGTTGCTCAACCAGCAGCTGATTATCTACCGCACGCTACCGCTGGCTCATCCGAGGACAGCAGCGTCAGCGTATCAGGCAGGACATCCCAGGACCACGAACAGCAGCTTGTTGTCGCTGCCGAGGAGCAGGAGAAGGATATTGCTCCAGCAAGAGGGCAGCTCCTTGGTAACCTCCGGGAGTTCCCGAGGCCGATGCGGGGGGCGGCGGGTCAAGTGACGGACAAGAAGGAGGGAAAGAGCAAGTGGGGACTGGGAGTGGGAGGTAGAGGGTTGGAGGCTACGAGCTACAAGGGCGTGTCCTTGAAGGGGAGCGCGTCATACTCGAGCCCGCTGGGTGAGAACATCAGGCTCATACTGCGGAGGAGGATGCCGGACCTGCTGTCGCAGAGGGAGAAGGAGAGGACAGGACATCGTCCGTCCTCAGCGGAGTCGAAGAGGACAACGCAGGTTCCAAGGATCAAACGCTCACGTTCGCAATGTAGCCACATGAAGGATAGCACCAACACTGTCCACCAACTGGACACAAGGGCTGATCCAAAGCTCGAAGCTCAGGTAGGGCTTGTGACGTCTTAGTTGTTAGCATGTCTGACGATGGCATAGCAGGGCGGGAGGAGGAACTTCAAGGAGCTCTATCAGCGACCAACCGTCAAATTTTCGCAGCCCGTGACGTGAGGGACATGAATGAAAGCTCATGAAAGTCTGACTCTCTTCTCCTCCAGTCTGCATAGAGGAGCCCCGCGATAGTTGTAGCTCGATTTACTGACCCTTAACTCTCCACAAGGAGGGTCGCCAGCATGACCGTCAGCTCGCTCAGGCAAGAGGAGCGTCAGCGCCCTCGGCAAAGGTCTTGAGGAGCTTGTGCTCCTGCTGGGCCTCGCTGATGGCACCAGTCACCTGCGGGGCAAAGTAAGCCCGACGGTGCCGTCCTTGCAGCCTGACAGACCTCGGCGATGTTCTCCTCGACCGCGGCAGACTCGGCGATCTCCTCAAACTGGGGGACGTAATAGTCCTCTGTGAGGATGTTAGCACAAGAGGAGAGTGAGGGAGGAGGAGGGGAAGGAAGGTTGTCACCTCCCAACGCGGCCGGGATGATGTCGTTGCCTTCAGAGTCCTGGAGACCGTCGAAGGTCTGCCGGAGAGTTTAGGAGGAGTCTTGAAGGGAGCCATTTCGTCCTGCTTACCCCGAAGGCAACAGCAGCAGCGTTCTCTCCGTCCTGCTCGGGGCCGGACCCGAGGCCGTAGAGGATCTGACCTCTCTTGATCATCATGGGCCTGTAAGGCTGGTAGAGAGCAGTCCTGGATCCTGCAGCAAGTTCAACAGCCAGTAACAGGGAAGGTCCGCCATGAACCTCTCAGATCAGCGGTGGCGATGAGGACGGTGCAGACTGCAAGAGCAGCGGCAACGATGACGGAGGAGTACAGGATCTGTAGTGAAGGCAGGCATTTTGTGAGGAAGGAAGGTGTTGCTTGCAACACAACACTTTACCTGTCTGGAAACAGAAGCGTTCCTCTGGGTCCGGGTAAGTTCGGAAGTTCCGTATTCCTGCCATCCCCACGTCATCACGCTGTCCATGTCGCTTGTGACGGTTTCAACACAAAGCTTTGTGTTTAGGATGATCGCACAGTCATCAATACACGGGCTCAGCGCTCAACATCAAGGATACCGACCAATAATCGCTTTTCATGACTTCATCCTCATCAAATACCTCGGCCTAAAATGGCTGCTAGAATCTCCTACCGTTTATCTACCCTTCCTGCAAGCCAGTGCTGTTTGCCAACTAACTTAACACAGCGATAATCCGAGAGTGCCTGTCAGATCGGTCGGAGCCTCATGCCTTAATAAGACTGGCAACGTTCAACTGTTCAACATGCCTTGCTAAGACTGGCAACGTTCAACTGTTCAACATGCCTTGCTAAGACTGGCAACGTTCAACTGTTCAACATGCCTTGCTAAGACTGGCAACGTTCAACTACTCACTCTTTCATCTACTCACTCCTCTCGCCGGACTACCCTGAGAGCTTCACGGCTGCCAGCCGAGCACAGTCACCGTGCCTCAGCGAGTGGCTTGCCCATCTTAGAAGCTGAGCCGCGCCGGATTCACGGGACACGGGTGACACCCAGCACCGTACGGAGTCTGACTCCCGACACGGGACTTCGGAATTTGTGGCATGAAACTCGGCAAACTAGCGACATGATGATTGTACATTGTTATGACACACTCAGTGTCGGTGGCGGCACTCTTGCCGTCAGCATCACATCAGCCAGGATCATCATCGAATGGCGCGTTGCTTCACTTACTCTCTGCATGACGTGAAGAGCCGCTCGTAGTAGGTGCGTGCTACCCTACCCCCCATCTTACTCGCAGAACCTGTGTGTACCCCCCTTCACATGCGGCTCCCATTACTGTAAGTACCCACCTTCTTACCATAACCACAAAGGGTACGGGTCCAGTGGCACTTCAGTGCGTTGCCTCAGGACTGGACCGTGACCGGATTCATCCGATCCTCATTCAGCACCAGTTTGGCCCGCATACCCGCATTGACCAGGCTTTACCCCACCCTTGTCATAAGGACCCCTACCCCCAGATTTCCGACCACCCCATCTCTAACCCATGGAATACTACCTCGAGCGCATATACATGTACCCCCGGCAGAGTACCCTACCTATGCATGACCTGAGACAACAGGACCCCGGAAACTATTGAAACTACCTCACCCCTCCATCCAACCCCTCTTGGAACATACAATCACACTACCCCCCTTTGATGGAGTAGACTCTTGAAATAGGCACCTATCAGGAAGATCTCTGTTCTCTCTTGGTACTTCAATTATAAAATATTCTATATTAGCCCCCACCCTTACTTATCAACATACCCCTACCCATCTTGAATTTTCAACACCCCTGTTCGAGTACCCCTACCCCCTAGGATAGAAGTAAATTGAGGAGCCGCGCCAAAGGACATCAGCGAAGAGACACCGCCATGGTCAAGGTGATACATCCCGTCGCCCATGGCACAGAAAGAGACAATGCAAGAGCATACAATGCTGATTGATGAGATAATCTTGATGTGAGGAAGGGAAATTTGGACTCTCAAAGTGTTATCTTGCAATGTGATTGACTGGGGGAGATGTTGTTCTGTCGTTTTCTAGTATGTTCGTGTCAAAGTCAGAGTTTTTAGAGAGAGAGAGGGCTTGCCGGATGCGGATATCAAGAAGAGAATTTTGTTCACAGTATAGCAATTCATGCGTGATCATATTTTTGTTGTTGCGTATGGTACAAGGGATCAAAACTTTGCTAGATATAGAATTCCGCTCGATTTTCATTTGACCTGGAATATGCAAACTTGTGAAGCAGTGTTTTTGTTGAAATGTCGAGACATTGGTTGGATGTTCTTGATCTTTTTGGTCTTGTATTTCATCCATAGTTTCCATGACGTCCTCAACGGATACCACCTGCAAAATCGATGTCATGGTGGCTTGCGCATTGTGTTCACTTGTAGTCATCCTGGTGTTCGGATGGTTGTATTGTTTCTTGTTCAGTGATATGATTCAATGCAGGTCTACGGAACCTCGGCTTCCAATGCCAACGAGAGGGAGCACAACTCTGTTTCCCGCCAGGTGGGACCAAGATACGTGCTGAGACCGTATAGATCTGATATGATGATAGATTGCGTTCACCCTCGCAATCTCTGCCTTGGCACTCACCGTCTGCTGTGCCTTGATCGCTTCTGCTGATCTCAAGGGCAACCGCGTCGCCCTCTACGGCCTCGGATCCGGAGAGGAGCAGGACGCTGACAACTCCATGGTTACCACTTTCGAGACCTTCGCTGGCCAGGACGAATACATGGAGGAACTTTTGGGTGATGAATACTATCAGGAACTTTTCAAGGAGATCGCTGATTCTGAGCCAATCTCTGAGGTCTGTATCTGACAAGCGATGTGAATGTGTCCCTTAATCTGGTTTACAGGCTGTTGATGAAGTGAAGGTTGCTGTTGACGAGGCTAAGAATGAGCACAAGACCTTGCAGATGTTCGCTGAGGGTGCCGATGCTCCTCTCTCTTAAGCGAGTAGTTTGCTTGTAGGATAATAGCTGTCTTCGCTGTATTCGATTTTCACTGATGAACAGCTGCTTCCCTGCTTCTGCGGATCGATCTTTGTCACAGATACAGCTGATTTATTAATCTTTAGACAAACTCATATCCTTTATAAAGATATGACAACCAAACTTCCTGTTTACTGGCAACATGATGTCAAGTGCATTATCAATTGGTTTCAGTTGTGGTCACCAGAAATACCTACACTTGCTGGAACTGCTGCACAGCACGAAACTCTTTTGAGTGATAGTTCAACCAACATGCATGTAGCTCAATACAACAGCATCATGATATTCAAACCAATCACCCTCCCTCGTTCACATCAGCCTGATTTCAAATCAGATTCAATATGCACTCCAAGACTCTGGTCAAATCAGATTTAATGTGCACTCCAAGACTCTGGCGGCCCCATCCAACCAGGAAAGGCTGCAAAGCGTACAATCAGCAAACCAGGAAAAGCGCAAGAGTCATCGGTTACCTGATGGCATTGGCTGAGTGAGCTTGCACTGGAATAAACCCTTGCTGTCATAGTTGCACTCTGATGAGCCATCGCTGTACCCGCCGGCATCATTCGTGTATGTATAGGCTGAAGGAGCATCGGAATCATACTGGCCCCATTCCTTTCCCTTCCCGCCCACCCCTGAAACGATGGAGAGGATGGTCTCTCTTGCTGATGTGGAGGGTCTCAATCCCTTGAACAGCATGCTCGAAGTCTCTAGAACGTCTCTCCGCCTTTCCTCCTGCTCGCGCTGCTGCTCAAAACGCCATTGGCTCTTCACGCGGCCTGCGGAGTTTTAAAGTTTGAGAGTGAGATTTGGATACTCAACGCTTGAAGTTTGAAGTTTGAAGTTTGAAGTTTGAAGTTTGACCAGGCGCTCAAGGCGTAACCGTCCTGACTGGGGGTGGGGGTGATGAGCCAGGGAATTGCAGTGGGTGGGGTGTTTATTGAACCGGTACAACTCAGATAAATTTAACCTAAAATGATATGGTGGGTGATGAATCTGTAGGGGTGCAATGTCCTGAAACTAAGTGATTTGACAGCCGACGAGGTGGTTACAACTACTAATATAAGATATTTCAGTCTAGTCTTACAGTAATGAATCTGTACCAAAACTTTAACAAAATAAGTTTTAGAATACTTCTTTTTTCTTGAGGATACTCCCCAAAAATGGGGGTGTCATGAGCTATGTTTCGTTAGATATTAGGGGGTGGGGGGTGAGAGTTGGCGAGATCTTTTTTCCGATGGGTTCATTTCGTGCGCAGCATGGCGGGATGGTTGGGTTCAAAGTTTTAGTTGAGGGGCAGGTAGCAAAGAGCATGAATGCAGGAAGAAGCAGTAGATGCTGAAGGGCGAAGAAATGCTGATGAGGGAAAAAAAACTGTATGCTTTCCAGGACATGGGTTGCGATGAGCAAGACAATGCAGGGAAGGTGCTGAGAGGCAGGCCTGTAGTTGGAAGCAGGAGGAGATGGAATGGCGGGAGGTATGGAAGGACCAAGAAGGATGAGGTAGAGATTTAGTGGATGGCGAATCTTGGGTGAGGTCAGATATGGATTGATGGCGAAAATAATCCACCAGGGTGAGACAACACACGATCCGACACATCGTTCTTGTTGTCTCAAATTCTGTTTGCGACATATTACATGACAAGTCTGCATCCCAACTCATCATGTTTGCCCAGCTTGAGGACCTCAGAGCTCAGGCGCATGGCTTCCGACTACTCCGAACGCCTGTCGTACGACGTCCTGCTGAAGGTGAACCAGCGCTCTCGTCGGTCACGGCGCGACTGACCTGGTTGTTCAGGAGCGAGATGATTTGCAGCGAGAAGCATCCACAGCTCACGCAGAGCTGTATGCGGTGCTGAAGCAGAGCGACTATCGCAGGTTGAGCGGATGCCTGAGGGGGTGGCCGGTTGAGCTGACGGCGGTGATAGCGCGGATGAGCTGGCGCTGGACTGCATGGCGAGGATGGCAGTGGAGGCTTCGCAGGTACGAGAGAGGGTGGGAGATGCTGTGTTGCTCTCGACCTTGTTGGAGGAAGATCGGAGAATTGATTGGAGGAGAGGTGGAGGTAGGAGGAGGAGAGGTAGAGGTGAAAGGAGGGAGCGTTTGGTTGAGGGGTAGAGGTTAGAGGTGAGGTAGAAGTGAGAGGAGATTTAGAGGTGCGATCGTCACCGCTGCTTTCTAGGCCCCGATCCCTGACCTTCCAACGGAGTATGACGAGATCAGAGTGAAGGTGACGGTCTCCTCTCTCTGGCATGACCTGCTCTCTGATCTCCTCTCCTCTCCTCTCCTCTCCTCTCCTCTCCTCTCCTCTCCTCTCCTCTCCTCTCCTCTCCTTCCCTTCTCTTCCTCACAATCCCGATGCACCAGGCGTCTGCTGTGGATGAAATCATCAGTGGCTCTGATCCTGAAGCTCAGAAGCGCTCCCGCACATGTAATTGTTGATGACGAAGTGAACAGGAGGGGAAGGTGGCTGGATGGATTGGGAGGGAATGAGAGGGAGGGGGAGGATGAGGTGATGGTGGTTAGAAAGATGAGTTTTGACAGAAGAGGGTGGAGAAGAGGTGGCGGAGGAATGGGGAGAGAGACGAGGAGTGGACAGAGGGTGTTGGAGGACGAGGAGGACAGAGGGTGTTGGAGGACGAGGAGGACGAGGACGAGGACGAGGTGGTTGTGTTGGTGGATGACATGATGACTATCAGCACGTCGAAGGATCTCCGAGCAGAACTACGAGTACGACAAGCTCACACAGGCGACAACGCAGCTGCGACAGGTCGAGAAGGAGATCGAAGGTGGAGAAAGGGATGAGACCAGCGCGGTCGTGACCCTGCGGCAGGGAAGGAGTGGACGATGAAGATGGTGTCTGAGCTGACTAAGACCCTCCTGGACCTCAAGGAATCGCTCATGGGCACGCAGAACAAGGCAGCAGAGATCGAGGTTGGCTCTGCTTTACACAAGCACGTGGTCTCCGCTGTTCAGAACGCGGAGGTGCTGGAGGGCACGACGGACACCGCCAAGTCGGATCGGGCCCGGATGTACGAGGCGTTCCTGCTGTGCCTCAAGACTGTGGGGGAGAGGAGGGCAGAGATGATGCAGGACGACATCGGGCATGGTGACATCGAGTCGTGGATCGCCAAGTGGGAGGACAGGATGGCGCGAGATGCGGAGGACGTGATGTCTGCTGCTCAGTCCCTCGATGACACCATGAAGGTCGAGGTAGGACGCGCTGACAAGCTTTCTGCCCTCTCGTGATCGCACGCGCTTCCCTGCTGTGAGCTGTTTCCTCTCCTCTCAGAAGCATCAGGCCGTATCCCTGTTCCCTCCTCCCTCTCTTTTGTTCTCCGCTCCCCCCCACCTCCTCCCGACCTCCATGCTCTTCGTGCCGGATCTTACCTTCTGCTTCCCTCCCGATAGCGAACTGCTCCCGCAGGAGCTCCTGGCGCCTCCGCGTGCTGACGTTGGGAGCAGGTCGAGGTTCAGATGAGGAACGAGCGGGAGATCGACAGCGTGGAGGTCATGGTGGACGGCAAGGAGCAGTTCATCCGCAAGATGAATGACGTCAGGAATCGAACCCTCACTGAGAGAGATGCCCTCCAGATGGATCAGAAGAGGTCCGTAATTCCTCCTCCTCCTCCTCCTCCTCCTCCTCCTCCTCCTCCTCCTCCTCCTCCTCCTTCCTCCTCTCCTCCTCCCTTGTCCTCCCCATCTGCTCCTTCCTTGTCCTCTCCTCCTCCGTCCGTTCTTCTGCACTTTCCCGCTTGGTCACCTCTCCTCGTCTCTCTCCCTCTTGCTAAAGTTCTTGTGTGCCCTCAGAAATGATCAAGTTCGGTCGAACCTGGACAACATGTTCCATCAGGTTTGTGATTCTTCCCTCCACTTGTCTTCTCCTTCAACCTTCCTTCTCCTCCTCTCCCCTCTCTTCCTCTCCCTCCTCCTCTCTTCTCATTACTCTACCTTCTCCTCCTCTCCTCCTCTCTTCTCCTCTCCCTCCTCCTCTCTTCTCATCCTCTACCTTCTCCTTTCTCCTCCTCCCCCTTCCTCCTCATCCTGACGCTTCTCCGCGCAGAAGCACAACTCGTCCGAGCAAAAGCTCATGGAAATTCGCACGCGCAAAGTCATTCGAGGGTGTTGAGAGAATGACAGCAGACTGACTGAAGGGTGCAGGGAGAATGTCGAGATAGGATCGAACACTACAGAGAAGAGCTCGTCAGAATCATGAATTGTATCAAGGTCCTCCTCCTCCGCCTCATGCTCCTCCTGCTCCTGCTCCTGCTCCTGCTCCTCCTGCTCCTGCTCCTGCTCCTCCTGCTCCAGCCTATTCCTTTCTCTTCGTCTTTAAGTTCATATTTCCTCCTCCTCTTCGTCTCGTCTGAACCTCTGTCGCTTCCCTTCCCTAGCTGTCATCCAATCTGTCTTCTGTATCTCCGTTTGCCTTCCTTGACCTCTTTCCTCCCCCCCCCCCTCCTGCCTCGCTGATCGCTGCTCACTACTTCACGTGCAGGCTGAGCATGCTTCTATCAGCGCGCTCTCGTCGTTCGAGAACGAAATCATTCAGATCCAACAAGAGAATGCTAGAGTCAAGGTTACTCCTCCTCCTCCTCCTTCTCTTCGTCCTCCTCCTCTTCCCCTCTCCTCCTCCTTTCTCCTCCTCCTCCTCCACCACCACCACCTCCTCCACCTTCTCATCCTCCTCCTCCTCCTCCTCTTACTCTCCTCCAGGCTTCAATCCAGTCTTCCATAGCAGAGCTCAAGACAGGACAGGCGAGCAAGTCTTCTCCTCTTCTCCGGCTCGCTCAAGTCCCTCTCAGGCTCTGATCGCCAAGGACCTGACGGCAAAGATCCGAGCCGTTGAGCTGGCCCTTGCTAGAGGATGCAACATCTTGGACTCAGTGATGTAAGATCTGCAGCACATACGATGATGAGGACGAGGATGGGAAGGGGGTTTGAGGGGGGGAGGGGCCGAAGTCGATGAGCATGAAGAGAAAGATATCAATTCTTGAGGGAAGAACAAGAGAGGAGGATGATGGTGATGAGGAGGAGGAGGAGGAGGAGGAGGAGAAGGAGTGGAGGAGGAAGGCGATGAACAAGTATCGGAGGGAGCTGATCTGGCTTTGGCGCAGGACCCGCAAGCACGAGCGAGAGACTGAGCTTGACAGCAAGTAAATCCCTCGATGTTTCTACAAGCGTCATGTAGCTGACTTGATTGTTCTCCCAAGATGTCGGGAAATGTTCATCCAGCATCATGAGGTCCGTCCTTGCTCTCCTCTCCTCCCTCCAGTCATCATCCCCTTTTTCTCCTCTCCCCTCCCCTCCCCTCCCCTCCCTCTTCCTCCTCCACTCCTCTCTCCTCTCTCTTTCCTATCCACTCCTCTGTCCTGCTCGCTCTTCTACATCCCTCTTCTCTTCCTGCATCTCGACGAAACTTCTCTCTGCTTGCTCCTGATATACATGTCTGACTTGGGTGGATTGTTTTCAGGCGAACTCGAGAATGTACCGCTACCTGTATCAGGTTGACTTTCTTTTTCGTTTTTTTGCTTCTCCCTCCTTGATCTCGTCCTCCTCCGTCACAACTACAACATCAACCACAAGCACATTCACCACCACCACCACCACCACCTCCTCCTCCTCCTCCTCCTCGTGTGCATCGGTTTACCCGCCTCAGGTTCTATGCGACAAGGAGGACAAGCGCGAGCAGCTGCAGGAAACCATGGAGACGCACAAGTACCACTTCGAGCAGGTGAGGGAGCAAGAAGAGCAGCAGCAGCAGCAGCAGCAGCAGCAGCAGCAGCAGCAGCAGCAGCTTGATAGGGTGATGGGGCTAATGACTGAGCAGGCCGTCAAGATAGCGAACTTCAGCGAGATAGGACGGGTCAAGGACCTTATGAAGCGAGTGGACGCGGACTTGGCGAGGTCGAGGAAGCGCGCGAGAGGCTTCTGGGGCTGACAGAGGAGCTACAGGGTGAACAGTGAAATCCAGCAGACCTCCTCGCAGCTCATTCAGGTATGATCGACCTTCCACTTGACAACTGGAGCGATCATCATCACCAGCAACACCACTGGTTTCACCACCATCACCACCACCACCACCACCACCACTACCACAACAACAACAACAACATCATCATCATCATCATCATCATCAGCAGCAGCAGCAGCAGCAGCACTACCACCACCACCACCAACAACAACAACTGATGCCCTTCTGTTCCCGCCTCTTCCATTCCTCTTTCCTCCTCCTCCTCATCCTCCTGCTCTCCTCACGTTCATCTCAGCGTTACAAGGCTCTCTGGGACCTCGAGCGAGTTCTCTATCAGGTGATGTGCCGAGCAATCTCTGTCGATGTGTGTCAAGATGTGTCAGAACTTTTGAAATTTCCCTGAGAGTCTTCAGGGATTCCCCCCAAATGCCCCGTGATTCTTAGAGAGAATACGTCCCTGGAGTCTTGCTTGATGAATCTTTGACGTTTTTCTTGGCGCGCGGAGAAATTTTGACTAGCCATCAAGTTTCCTCTGACTGGTCGCTGCAGCGCTTCAGGTTCTCAGAAGGGACCTCGCAAGAGGAAGAGATCAACTTCGATGCCCTTCAGGAGCAGGTGAGGAGGAGGAGGAGGAGGAGGAGGAGGAGGAGGAGGAGGAGGAGGAGGAGGAGGAGGAGGAGCTACAAAAGTGGAGAGGAGAGGAGAGAATCGGGGTAGAAGGAAGAGGAAGAAGAAGAGGAGTACAAGGAATCAGCAGATTGTGAGGAATCAGAGGATGATGGGAAGGAGAGAAGGCAGGGAGGGAGGAGGGAGGAGGAGGAGGGCGAGGGATGCAGGGGATTTGTCCAAGTCGCTCAGATGGCGATGCAGGCGATGAATTCCAGCGGGAACTTCTCATCCACTCTCACCTTGCAACCTCGTCCAAAGGTCTCCGGAGCCTCCACTACCACAACCACAACCACTCACTCCTCCTCCTCTTACTGCTGCTCCTCGTCCTCCTACTGCTGCTCCTCCTTTATCTTCCTCCTCCTTTCGCCTCCTCCTTTCTCCTCCTCCTCCTTTTTCCTGCCCCTTCATCTGCTCCTCCTTTATCCTTTATCTTCCTCCCCTTTCTCCCCCTCCTCCTTCATCTGCTCCTCCTGTGTCTTCCTCCTCCTTCACCTGCATCTCCTGATGCTGCTTAGGCTCTCGATCCTTTCATCGTGTTGCGATTCGACACCAACATTCTCAGGAACTCACAATTCACTGAAGGACGACAAGGTCCTCAATCCCCTCCCTTCTCCTCCTTCTCTCACCCCTTTCTCCCGTCTCTCTCCTCCTCTTCCTCTGCCTTCTCTCTTTCTCCTCCTCTGTCTCTTTCCCCCATCTTACTTTTCCCGCAGGTTGGACAGCCAATGACAGCACCGAGCTTGCTCTTCGTGAAGCTGCTGATCATACTCCATGCTGTGCTGCCCGCGCCCCGCCCAAGTATCTTCCCCTCCCTCCCTCCCTCCCTCCTCCCTCCTCCCTCTCTCTCCCCTCCCCTCTCTCCTCCCCACCCTCCTATCTCCTCCAACCTCCGTCTCCCTCCTCCCTTCTGATCCTTCCGCAGGGGACAAGGCATCCTGTTGCAGCAGAGAGACGTTCACGTCCATCCTGATCGAGAGTATCTCCTGAGGTCCGTCTTGACTCCTAACTCTCTCTTCCCCCCCCCCCCCCAAATCCTCTCCTCTATCTCCCTCTCCCCTCCCTTTCTTCGTTCTCCTCCTCCTCCTCCTCCTCCTTCTCCTCCTCCTCCTCCTCATCTTTCTCCTCCTTCTCCTGTGACCTTCATTGCTAGTGTTCGAAGCGCCATGGCAAATGCGGAGAGAGTCATGTCCCTTTTTATCGAGCGACAAGACAGCGCAGGTCTCGCCCCTCCTCATCATAATCATCTTCATCTTCCTCCTCCTCCTCCTCCGCATCATAATCATCTTCATCTTCATCTTCATCTTCATCTTCCTCCTCAACCTCTGCCTCCTCATCTCATCCTCACCCTCCTTCCTCTCCTTCTTCTCCTCGTCCTCTTCCTTCCTCTCCTCTTGCTTTCTTCTCCTCCTGCAGCTCGAACCTTGATCCTCCTGCCCCATCACCCTTCTCTCGCTCCCTCGTTCTCTTCTCAACTTCACTTGTCAGGCATCGGAGGTGCTGGCCGACTCATCTCGCAGAAATCAATCCAGATGGCCCCTGGCGTCCTGCAGGTTTGTTGCATTCACACTTCACATCATGGCATGTCGTGTCATGTCACATCAGCGCTTCTGTTCATTTCTCATCCTCTTCACTCACCTTACCTCTCCTCCCTGCCCTTTCCTGCTCCCTCCTCTCGTCTCTCCTCTCCTCCTCCTCCAAAACGTTGACGTTGAGCATCCTTCCGCACGTTCATCTTCATTCGCATCATCCTTCACTTCTCATTTCTTCCTCGATCTTCTTTCTTCCTTTCTTTTGTCACTCTTCTGACTTCTATCCTCCCCTCCCCTCCTCACCCTATCTCCTATCCTCTCCTCTTCCCTCCCCTCCCCTCTCCCCTCTCCCCTCCTCTCCCCTTCCTGGGACCCTTATAAG